CTCTGGCCATCAGGGAAATAAAAATAAAAATCACAATTAGATTTCACCTCATCCCAGTTAGGATCGTTAACATACAAAAATCAGAAGACAGTAAATCCTGGCGAGGGAGAAAGGGACCCTGATTCATGGTTGGGGGGACGGTAAACTAGTGTGTCTATTATAAAAGACAGTATGGAGATGCCTCAGACATCTGAAAATAGGATCTACCATATGACCCAGACCCTCTGCTGGGACGATAGCGAAGTGAATGTAATCAACATGAGAAAGGCATGCGTGCCCTCAGGTTAACAGTACTGCAATTCACAAGAGCTACACTGTGGAATCAATCCAGATACCCAGCAGCTGGCTGGAAAAAAAAAATGTCATAAATATACACTATGGACTACTATTCAGCCATAAAAAGAATGAACTCTTGTTTTTTGCCACTAAATGCATCCAAATGGAAACCATTATTGTTAGCTTTTTTCTCCACAAATCCAAGATGCCAGAGAACATGAGTCTTACAAGAGGTCCTTTGTTCTGGCAGGAAGGGCAGCTACAGGGCAGCGGGAAAGCTGGAGCTGTGTTGGAAAGGGTAGAGGGAGAACAAAGGAAGTGGGAGAGCAGAAATTGGAGAGAAGGCAGAGAGACAGAGGCAGAGAGCAGGAGAAGAAGGGGCACCTTTATAGCCTTGAGGTGGGTATGGGGAGTGCCAGGTCGGGGATTGGCAATTGTATCTGTAGGAGAACACCAGAGATGATGCCTCAGGGGGTTGCTGGAGCAGAGCTGTCAGGTATGGGGGGCCTGAAATGCATGGATTGGCAGAAAGCACAGTTGGAGCCCAAAGGGCATGAAGCTTACTTAAGCAACTGAGCCTTAAAGGGACCAAGACCTAGGAGACTTATGGTAGTGCTGGGGAAGCAAGCATTCAGTGTGGGTCCAGAATGGCGGAGTCAGTCTTTGAGGTCGCTATTCGAGTTGTTCCTTACAATTATGCTTCATGAAATAAATCAGTCCCCAAAAGACAAATCTCACATGCTTTCCTGATCTGTGGTAACTAAATAGAACGAGATGAACAGCCTGGGATTTGATCGTTGCTTGCAGCCTTTTTACTCCTGAGGAGTGGCGTAGAGTGTTTTCCCACTATGCTGTGGATGGGCATCTTAAGCCTGTGATTGCAAAGTGAAATGAAAATATGCTATTGTAAAAATCAGGGGGATAAAAGAAAGGAAAAAGGAGGAAATGAGTGAAGAATGCGGGCAGAAGGGTGGGTAGAGTGGAAAATGTTGCTATGCTCCTAAATCTGTATTGGAAAATTTGCTCATTTTTGTAAATTTTTTTAAGAGGGGAAAAAAGAAGCAAAATTGCCTAGGCCTTGCAAACTTCAAGAAAGCACAAACTTCATAAAATGTGAACTTGAAAAAAAGAAAATTTTTGAATTTTTAAGTATACATTTTAATTTTTTGTTGTTGTTGTTAATTTATTTATTTGAAAGGCTTAGTTACAGAGAGAAATCTTCCATTCACTGGCTTACTTCCCAAATGGCTGCAAGGGCCTGGGTTTGTCCAAACTGAAGCCAGCAGCCTAAACCTCCATCCAGGTCTGTCACATTTGGGTCATCACTGATGGCTGCCATGGGTGCAGGAGGAGGGCTGATACATCACTCAGACTTTGGCCCAGAACCGAAAGACCGCAAAGCCAGATACGTCATCGCTGGGCCAGCAAGGCCCCCCGGTGGACCAATGATAGACTCAGACATTCCTTACCTAATTAGGACCTGAAACAGAGTCTATGTCAGCTTCTGTGTTGGAAGGGGTATAAAACACGTGCAATGGAACCTTCCTCAGAATATTAGGGGGAAGAGCAGACATTGTAACTCAGTGGGTTAGCTGATTGCTTGGGACACCCAACCCCATACTTGAGAGCCTGTGGCCAAATGCCACTTTCACTTCTGTCCATTGTCCTACTGTCATGCTTGGGAGGAAGCAAATGGTGGCCCAAGTTCTTGGTTCTTGGCTTTGACCTGGCCTAGTCCCATCTGTAGCAGGCACGTCCCTCTGCCTGCCTTCATTCCTGCAGCTTCTTTCTCTCTCTCTACTTCTGTCTATGTCTCCACTACAAGGGGAAAGGCCCGGAAGCAGATTTCCCAAATAAAGGCCCTTTTGTGTTTTTTACAGTTGGCTGAAGTTTTCTTTGCACGGGCAGTTGGCAACCTAACAGTTAATCTAACAATCATCTGCTGCTTTCCCAGCTTAGCAAGGAACTGGACTGAAATGGAGCAGCTGAGACTCCAACTTGCATTCAGATGGGATACTAGCATCACAGGTGAGGCTTAACTCACTGCACCACAACACAAGGTCCCCACAGGAGGCAGCTTTTAGTTTTCTGAGACCCTCACATATGCTCAAAGAACTTAAAGATGACATGAACCAAGTGAAGAAAATGACTCCTGGACAAAATGGAAATAACAATGTGAAGATGGAAAACATAAACAGACCAAAAATGTATTCCAGATCCAGAAAGTGTCAAGCCTGAAATGACCATTTCACTAGAGAGATTCAAGGGCAGATCTGAAGAGACGGAAGAAAGGTTTAGCCAATTTTGAAAGCAGAACTGACATGATTGAGTCTGAGGAACACAAAGAAGGAGAATTAAAGTGAACAGAGTGCAAGGGAGCTGTGCATCTCATCAAGCCGGCCAATGTCTTCCCAAAGAGTTACAGATGGCCAGCAACAGCATTGAAAAAAACACTCCCATCACTATCAATTAGGGAAGTATACATTCAAACCACAATAAGGTACCACATCACGCCTGTTAGGGGAGATCCTCCCAGATGGCACAGAGAGCTGACCTGACAAACTACCAGTCAGGTGGCCACAGTCTGCCTCAGAGTGCCTGGGTTTGAGTTTTAACTCTGCTCTGGAGTCCAGTTTTCTGCCAGGGTACACTCTGGGAGGCAGAAGGTGATGACCTAGGCGATTAAATCCCTGCCACCCATGTGGGAGAACTGGAGTGAGTTCCTGGCTCCCGGATTTGGCCCAGCCCAGCCTGCTGCAGACATTTGGGATATGAACCAGTGGATGAGGGCTCTTTCTCTCACTCCTTCTTGAAAATTTCAAACAGAGGTAAGTGCTGGCAAAGCTGTTGAAAAAGTAGGACTCCTGTGAACTGTTAGTGAAAATTATAAGTTAGTGTATTCACCAGCACACCTCCTAAAAACATTGAACGTAGCCTTCCATGTGATCCAGCAATTCCATGTGTGAATATATACACAAGAGAATTGGATACAGGGCCTTGAAGAGAAAGGAGTGTTTGCACACCTCTCGTCACAGGAGCACTATTCAAAGAACTGAAAGGCAGAAGCAGCCCAAGCGTCCATGGATGGATAAACATAAAGGTGTGCATAGTGATATGTTATTCAGCAGTAGAAAGACAAGCTGACATGGGCTGCAAAACATTATGCAAAGTGAAACAAAGCAGTCACAAAAAGACAAATACTCTATTATCCCACTCATGTAGTTAGAGTAGTCAAATTCAGAGCTAGAGATTACAGCGACTTTTAGTGCCTGCCAGGGACTAGAGCAAGAATGGTTCAGAGAATCATTGTTTCACAGGTACAAAGGTTTTTGTTTTGTTTTGTAAGATGAAAAAGACCTGGAGGAGTAGGTATCTGGATTAGCGGTTAGGATGTTATTAGAAGGGAAAGGGGGCGCTAAAGCCTCTGCCGCAATGCCAACATCCCAAATGGACCTCGGTTTGAGTCCCTCCACTTCCAAGCCAGCGCCTCTCTAATGGCCTGGGAAGGCAGCAGTGGATGGCTCAAGACCTTGGGCCCCTGAGCCCATGTAAGAGACCCGTAAGAAGCTCCTGTTTCCTGGTGGCTTCAGACCAGTTTAGCTTTGGCAATTGTGGCCATTTAGGGAATGAACCAGCAGATGAAAGATATCAATCTCAGTCTCATTGTAAATCTGCCTTCCAAAAAAAAAAAAGTGCTACTTGGTGCTTGGAATGCCTGCATTCCATGTCAGAATACCTGGGCTCAATTCCTACCTCTGATCTTAACTCCAGCTTCCTACTCATGCACACAGTGGGAAGTCTCAAGTACCTTGGGTCGGAGACAGGACTCATTTCCCAGCTCCCGGCGTCCCCTGGGCCAACCTTGGCTGTTGTGGACACGTGGGGAATGAATAAGCAGGTGGTGGGTGTCTGTCTATCCCTCACTTACTTCCTGTCTATATAAATGTATGTATGTAATTATTTGTTAATGAGCTTATCTCTTTCAAATACATTTTTGCAAAAGAAAACAGCCTTGCAGATGGATGATGATGGTTGTATACCAAAGTGAATATATTTGACGCCACTGAACTACACACTTTGAAATGGTACATTTCATGTATATTTTACCACATTAAAAAAAAAAATTGAAGGGCCTGGTGCAATAGCAAGCACACCAGTTCATGTCCTGGCTGCTCCATTTCCCATCCAGTTCCCTGCTTATGGCCTGGGAAAACAGTGGAGGATAGCCCAAGGTTTTGGAAACTTGCACCCAAGCAGGAGACCTGGAAGAAGCTTCTGGCTCCTGGCTTTGGATTTGCTCAGCTCCAGCCATTACAGCCATTTGTGGCATGAACCAACAGATAGAAGATCTTTCTCTGTTTCTCCTTCTCTCTATAAATCTGCCTTTCCAGTAAAAATAAATAAATATTTTCCAAAAAAAAAATTTTTTTAATGTTAAATCTCTGCAAGAGCAAGGGATGACACAGGTCTCTACACTCGGCGGCAAGCAGCACCATTTACCCTGCAGTTGACTCCCCAGGCAACTCTGGAAGTCAAGCTCCCCTACCCATGACAGAGCTTGATAATCAATCATGGATCCCATCCACCCAGCATCAGGGCTCTCTGAATCTTCCACACCCAGCGCCACGAGGACTTACCCCATGCCTACTATTTGCTATCATGAGCTCAAATGATGCCCTCCCGGAATTACATCTGACAGAGAACACTGGGGACACAGCTGTAGCAGACCTGGTCATTCTTTTATTGGAAGGGGTATGCACTGTTGTACTTTACAAGCCTGTGAGCCCAGAGAGATTTCCAGTTGAATATCCAGTCGGTCTTCTTTGAGTTCATAGTCACCCTGAATAAAGCCACGGGTGTGACAGTTATGCCAGCGCCAATAGGCCTGGATGATGCGCACAGCGTTGAGCAACCGGCAATACCGCTGGCGGATGCACCACATACGCACCCAAGACTGGACCTTCACAACCGCCCATTCTTGCCGGGCAAAGAGCTCCAGCGTCATCCGCCGCCTCAGCTCCGTCAGCTGCGCCAACTTTTGCCTCCACCAACTCTGAATGATCCACGCTTGGAGGGCAGCGTGCAGCAGGGTGCGGCGGACCAGAGTGCCCCGCCACCAGGCCTGGATGACCACGGCCGCGGCCGACTGTTTGGTGTTCGGTTTCGGTTCCGATGTGGTGGTGGTCGGTTTCGATTTCGATTTCAATGATTTCGATGGTTTTAGTTCTGATAGGCTGGTGTCTGATTTCGATTTCTTTGATTTCGGTTCTGATATGCTGGATTTCGATTTCTTTGATTTCGGTTCTGATAGGCTGGAGCTCGATTTTGATGATTCCGGTTCCGATGTGGTGGTGTTCGATTTCGATTTCTTTGATTTTGACTTCGATAGTTTCGGTGGTTTCGGTTCCGATGTGGTGGTGTTCGGTTTTGATTTTGATTTTGCTTTTGGACCTAGCAAAAGGAAAGGAGAGAGCGCTGAGCACCCTAGGGGAAGTCAGGGTGTACTAGGAAAGGGGCCCAGGTTCTTCTCAAAGATGCTTATCCATGGAAACATCCAGAACATTGGATCCGGGAAGCTGAGTAGCTGCCCTTCCTCCGCCCACTCTCCCAGCTCATGGGCACCAACACACTACTTGGTCTTCTTGGTCCCCATGTCCCCATCTGGAAAATGAGGATGCACCTGATTGGCCAAGCCAGAGCAGTAACACACTAAGGTAGAGGTAAAAAAAAAAAAAAAAAAAAAATCTACAAACCTCATCTGAGCCCCACCACTTGCCTTGTAGATCCTTCCCACCCTCCGGAAAAGGAGTGCCCCTGCTCTGTTCGCCCCCTCACCTCTATTCAGACCAAAGCTACTGCATCCCCTGTGCCTCTGCAGAGATGCCTCCAGCAGTATACACCCTTAATAAATAGCTTCACAGCAGTTCACAACACACACATGCATTCCCCGATCCCAACCCTGCATGCTCGGGGCTCCCATGCCCTCCGCCTCCTTCTTTGCCACAGTCAATGCTTTGTGCCTCAACCTGACCCATGTGTCCCGCCTAAGGAGGAAACGGGGTTGAGTTGTAGGAACAAGACAGCAAAGGTGGGTCAGTCCTGCTCTTGCTTGGGATCAGTTTCTGCCTATATCCTGGCGTAAAGATGGCAGGGAGCCCCTTGCTCACTTATTGCCTTTGGACAATCTAACTCATGGTGGCAGACCTGGAATCATCCCACTGGACCACAGGGCCACAGCCTGCACACAGCTCCCCCCACCCCACCAGGGCTGGAGGGGGACAGTGTAGAAGGAGAGGTATGTTTAGGATTGGCTGGGAAAGAAGGGGCTTCCTTCTACCAACAAGCTCCACTCTACCGAAATGACTCGTGATTATTTTCAGTATCATCTGAAACCACCTGCTGTCCTTTTACTGTAGTTTGAAACTTAGGCTGGGGGTGGAGGGTGGGGTGGGAAATATCGGGGAGGACCTGGCAGGAAAGCCAAGGTGCTCCACCAAACAACAGGGAGACAAGTTGGCCACTGAAACAGCTTCTCCAGCCTCTCTTGGGACTTCAACACGGAGCAGATCCCTTCCCCCCCCCCCCCACTGGGGATAGCTGCGGGAAAGTCACCTCGCCCTCTTAGGAAGTTTGGGTGGATCTACTTCCCCTAACTTGAGAATGGGTGGACAGATTCCCAAAGGATTGCGTCCTATGAAATTACCCATGGTCAGGGGCTAGATGGTTCAATCACCCTGAGGTCTGCCCTCCTCCAGCCACAGCTCCAGCCGGAAGAGTGGGGCCGGGGGAGGTGATGACGTCAGAATAGCATCTGTGATGCAGACACCGGGCTCCAACAACTGAGTCGTTCCTAAGGGAAGCCTTTAGCTCCTGTCTCAGTTTTCTTGCCATGATGGCCAGAACTGGGTGACAAAAAAAGCGTTCCAAACACCACCTCACAGTCCCAAGGCATATGACTATACTCATTAAAACCCATTGGTATGCATCCGAAGGGCTTTGGTTTATTTATTTAACAATGGTACATCAGAATATGATGAGAACAAATCTGCTCTGTGTGCTAATACGAAAGCTTGTGCCAGATTTTAGTGAGTGAAACACAGGGACTGCATCATATATATAAAAATGCATGAAGCTTTTTGGTGAGAATAACTGAGTTCAGGGAGCAGACAAGCCCCACATTGTGACTAAGCCCCCTGCCTGGCTGTCTTGCACACATCCGGTTAGGAGGAACCTGAGCACCCTCCAGCCAGGAATTCCAGGACCATCCTGAGCCCCCATTTGAGGTTAAGGGGCCCTATTGTCTCCCTCAAGGTCACAGTCAGATGGACACTGCATCTGCAGAGCCCCCCCTTGTGCCCATACCAGGTCTCTGAGGATCCACATGAACAGCAAGAGGCCCTGATCTTCCTCAGAGTCACAGCTTCAGGGGCCCCGAGGAAAGCAGCTGGAATATGGGAGATAGGGGTGGCGAGAAAGGCCTGGATGTGTCTTTAGAAAAGAGGAGGAGCTGTCTGAGCTCGGAGAGAAGTGGGAAGTTCATGGGATGCAGGTGTGGTGAGGGCAGGGTATGTTGGAGACTGGAAGGAATAGTGGGGACAACACATGGGACAGGGAACGGGCAGGAAGGATTCATTGAACATAAAGGTGCTGGCCGGGATCCTGGGAGAGCAGCACCAATTTGACACCTCCTGGTGTTGTGGGCAATAGGTTAGAGTGCTCAATCAGTGACATCTGAATTCTACATGGGTACCAGTTCCCATCTAGCTCTCTACCTGGAAAAGCTGCAGAAGATGGCCTAAGTGCTTGGGCCCCAGCATCCACACAAGAGACATGGATGGAGTTCCTGGCTCCTAACTTCAGTGGGGCCCAGCCTTGGCCATTGTAGCCATTTAGGGAGTGAACCAATGGATAGAAGATCTATATCTCTGTGTAACTGCCGTTCAAAGAAATCTAAGTGCGTGAAACTCGAGGGCCAAGGAAAAGACTTCAGACGCAAACGTGAAAGAGCTACATTAATATCCTCAGTGAAAGAAGCAAGCTGTTTTGGGAGGGAAAGAGCAAACTGATTTGAAAAAGTGTCCACATGTCTCAGAAAAGACCAATGGTGGCCACAATGAAAGTCGTCAGTTCATGGCAGACATGGTCTCATGGATTATGTGCAGAGCAGCCAGCAGCAAGTTTGAGAGGAAGACATCCCTGGATCGGGGCCCAGGGAGCAGATAAAGAAGGTTAGAGGAACCACATGAAAGGGTGGGGTGCTGACACAAAAGCAGCTGTGGTGGCCGAGTGCGGGAGGCTACAATGGGCATGGGGGGCAGGTGCCCCTGATCCCACACTTCCACGAATGGCAGGTTCACCATATCTGGGCCAAGGCCAATGCAGGTGGTACTGGATTTATTTTCTTCTCAACTTTGTCAACAAATATTCCCAAGGGTTAGCAGTTCAGATGATAGCAACAGCTGAGCTGAACTGGCACACACATCACTCTTCCAGAGCCAAGGAAAACCACTCAGAGTCATTTGACTTGTTTTTCTTTGACTCCTGAGATGACTGCTGGCTTCGGCTTCATCTGGAGCCACTCCTCCCCTTGGAAAGTCGACAGTGTTAAGTTTGTTTTCTCCCGCCATGATTCTCCAGCTGCCGCCACCAAGTGTGACTCAATTAACAGTGGGGTAGCAGCTGTCCCGGGTTGGCAATCAAATGAACAACTTGGAATTATCTGCTGTTCCCAGCCTCTTTCTCATGTTTCGGTTTTTCAGAAAGAAATTCTGCTACAATGAGATACAGCGTGTACAATATCTATCTTCATAATCACTGTTTTCCTGTGAGGAATAGTGCCCACTGGTAGTGTTGATTACAATGCTGAGTTCTTCTAGCATAACTGTAGTGTCATGGTGGAACGATCACCACGCTTTGTCTCTGTCTTTAAAAATGGCACCTGGAGAAATCTGAATCTGTTTTTCTTGTTGTGGCATGATGGATACGCATAGGCATTAAGTGCGTAGCACGTTAAGCCACCTCCTGTGTCCTGACTGCCAGCACTCCCAGCCTGTGGATGTGACTCCTGCCTTCTGTTGTTGGGGCTGAATACAACATAGCATTGTCAAGGTATAACCCGCCAAGCAGTCCATATTGAAAGTGCACAGCTCAACATTTTGCCACAATTCATTGCCACAAGGTGGGAATCAGTAGCCCCACTTCCTGGCAAGAAAGTTGGGGGTTTACTGGTAGGGGGGCAATGAGTTGTCCATGGTCACATGCCAGTAAGAAATGGAACCAGATATCTGTCCTGGGTCAGACTTTTCTTCTGAGATCTTGAACAAAACACGAAAGTGACCAGGGTAGTGGCATAGCAAGTTAATCTTCTACAGCATTGGCATCGCATATGAGCACCAGTTCGAGTCCCAGCTGTTCCACTTCTGATCCACCTCCCTGCTCACGTGCCTGGGAAAGCAGAAAAGGATGGGCCAAATGCTTGGGCCGCTGTACGCATGTGGGAGATCTGGAGGAAGTTCCTAGCTCCCAGCTTCAGACTGGCCCAGTTCCGGCCATTGCAGCCATTTGGGAAGTAAACCAGCAAAGGGAAGATTTCTATCTCTGGAACTCAGACGTTCAAGCAAAAAAATAAATAATACCAAATAATAATAATAGATCTTTTCATGTATAAACGAAGACAAGCAGGGAGACAAAAATCCTACAGAGTGACAGAGAGCAAGACTCCAGATGAGACACAAGGGGCAGGACATGGAGAGACAGGACAGGACGTGGGACCCGCACTCACGGCAAGGCCACAGCCGGAGCCAGGGGCATATGTGCCATGGTCTGACTTCTGTGAGTGCAGAAACCGACTTTCCAGCACACAGCCAAAGGAACCAGCTGGACACGGGGCTCTGAGGTTGTGGCTTTGGGGAGACCAGGTCTAGGTCCCATGCCCCTGGCCTGCTGCAGGGCCCTGTGGGATGGCAGTGTCTAGATATGAAGAGACAGACTGACCGTAACCCCTTCCCCACCATGTGGGCCCCAAATTCCACCCTGGGTGTGGTAGGACTTTCACAGGAGCCAACTGTGCCCCGCCAGCTAGGGCTGGAGGGCTGGACACCCAACCCAGCGTAGGGCTGGCAGCCACACACCCTCCTCCCCTCCCCACGGAGGAGAACCAGTCCTTGCCTCCCCAGGGGCTTCTAGGGAGGGACAGATGCAGTAAGAGGACCTCAGCCACACAGTTTCCGGTGCAGCTCCCAGACTCTGAGAAGCCAAGGGTGAGGATTTGGCTTCCAGGGGACAGAAACCAAAATCCTGCAGGGCCTGGGTTGGGGGAGGGGACCGATCCCTGAGCAACTGGACCCAGATGGGTGACTTCCTGGCAGATGCGCTGCTCCACCAGCAGCACTCCAGGATGGCTTGTCTCAGCGGGAAGATGGTGACAATGACATAAACCAAAGGAACACTCCCTGGGGCTGGCTACATGGCCAATCTGTACCCCTCAATTCTCTTACCCGTGGCAGATATTACTAATCAATCACAGAGCCCTTGCTCAAGGAGCTCAGAGACCTAGACAACTTGGCACCGGCCTTCCCTTATCTCCCAGAGCTAGTAGAGGCTGGGCATCCTTCCTCTTTGGCCATGACCTCAGGAACACATCACACAGAGAAGTCTTGAGAGGACCACATCACTGCTTTATTGGAAGGGGAATACACTCTGTCACAATGCAAGGCCCTGAGCCCAGCAAGATCTCCAGCTCCAGGTGCAGCTGGTTGGCCGTGACCCGGTACTGGCCCTTGATGATGCCCCGGGAAGCACAGGTGTGGCACCTCCAGTAGGCCTGGATGATGCGGACGGCATTGAGCACCTGGCAGTAGCGCCGGCGGATGCGCCACATACGAGCCCAGGACTGCAGCCTCACAGCTGCCCACTCCTCCCGCGTGAAGTTCTCCAGTGCCATCCGCCGCCTCTTCTCCAGGGCCCTGTTCAGAATCAGCCGCCACCAGCACTGAATGATCCAAGCCTGGAGGGCGGCGTGCAGCAGCGCCTGGCGCACCAGGGTGCCCCGCCACCAGGCCTGGATCTTGACAACAGCCGTCTTCTCGTCAAAGGTCTTCTTCTCTTTTTTTGGTAACTTGCAAAGAAAAAAGAGGACAGGGAGCACGGTGGGATATGCTAAGAAAGGGCCCCTGGTACCCACGTAAATGACCAGACAGACCCTTCTTCCGAAATGCAGGTGCGTTGGCCAGAGCCGGCCACACCCTCTGGTAACGAACCATGAACACATAGCCTGGCTCTTGGAGTCTCAGGGTCCTCATCTGTGAAGTGGGGGGTCCACCTGCCCTCGCCACCCAGCTTCCCTACTTTGTCACTCTCAAGCAAGACCTCTGAGCTTAATGGGGGGAAAGGGTGACAGTGTCCCCGGTGTCCCACCTCACCATGACTAGGACCTTCCCTCAAACCCCTCCCTCCCCCCGGCAGCAAAGGGGCGCCTCTCCTTTGCCATTCTCTCAACCGCAACCCCAGCTCACAGCCACAACCTGCTCCCTCCCTTGGCCACGTCACTGTGCTCAAAGTGTCCCCCAGTCCAGAAAGTTGTACCTCTCTTACACCTTCTTCATTTATGCTTTTCCGGTCTCCCTTCATAAGCAAATACACACACAATCACACACACAGGATTCTAACTCAACTCGGCTTCCCCTCACCCCTCATTCCATTCCCCCCACAAACAAGCACACACACACACACAGGCCTTCACCCCCAGCCCCCCGTGTGCGACTGGGGTGGTGGAGGGCAGGGGCTGCGGCGGTCATACTTCTCCGACTTTACTGTCCGCATTATCTACTTTCTTTGTGTCAGCTAGAGGTTTAGCCTGAAAAGGGAAAACAGGACAATAATGAGTTCATCCGGTTCTTAGCTCAGGACCATGCCAGGGGCGCAATCCCCAAGCACTAGGAAAGCAGGCTGGATGAACTCCCCACCTTCTTGCTTGAGGTGGCTGGTGGTGCTGCGGATGCATCGGCTGGCTTCCCAGTCTCCTGAGGCTCGGCCTGGTGTCCCGGCTGAGTCTCCTCCTGCAATCATCCACCAAGGGGAGGGTGGAGGTGAGGCAAGCTGCCCCTCCCTCCCCCTTCGGCAGCCTGCTGTCCCCAGGACCCAGGATTTCCCTGGTTTGCCCAGCTCTTACTCACCATTGGTCACACGTGGACTGGGTGCAGATGGTCCGAAACCCCTCAGATCTGTGCTCCTCCAGCGATGGCAAGGCAAGAGCAGAGGAGGGGGCCCCCCGTGATGTCACAAGGGCATCTGTGACTCATGCACCAGGATGGCTGCTGGTAACTGAAGCTTCCCACCAATTAGACCTACTCCCCAACCTTCACCAGCAGAAATGGCAAACCCCAACTTCAAAGCCCAGTACCTCATTGATGTAAAAGTGTGTAAAGACGAGTCAGCTGCTAATAATAATATTAATAATCAGAAAAAGCAATCTCTCACCTGGGGGTTGATCTGATGGTCTATGGTCCCATCTGTCCCATAAATTTAAAAATGAAGTTAATCTATAGGACTGATGATGAAGGTATATCCAAAAGAATATTTACAAGTAGGGAAAAAATGGGAAAATGGTTCCTAGTTATGTCAACAAAACTGTTACTGAAGAGTCAGCACGATGACTCAACTGGCTAATCCTGTCTTCAAGTGTCAGGATCCCATATGGGTGCTGGTTCGTGTCCTAGCTACTCCACTTCCCATCCAGCTCCCTGCTTGTGGCCTGGGAAAGCAGTCGAGGACAGCCCAAAGCCTTGGGACCCTGCATTCGCATGGGAGACCCGGAAGAGCTCCTGGCTCCTGGCTCCTGGCTTCGGATTGGGGCAGCACCGGCTGTTGCGGTCACTTGGGGAGTGAATCATCAGACAGAAGATATTTCTCTCTCTCTCCTCCTCTCTCTAATATCTGATTTTGCAATAAAAAATAAATAAATCTTAAAAAAAAAAAAGGGAAAAGAAAAGAAACAGACCAGTCTGACTCCAAATAAGGCATGTAACAAAAGCCACATCTGGGGCCCAGCACGGTGGCACAGTGGTTAAGGTCCTCGCCTTGAACGCCCGGGATCCCATATAGGCGCGGGTTCTATCCCGGCAGCCCCGCTTCCCTTCCAGCTCCCTGCCTGTGGCCCAGGAAAGCAGTCGAGGACAGCCCAAAGCTTTGGGACGCTGCACCCGTGCTGGAGACCCGGAAGAGGCTCCTGGCTTCGGATCGGCATAGCATCAGCCATTGCGCTCACTTGGGGAGTGAATCATCGGACGGAAGATCTTCCTTTCTGTCCTCTCTGTATATCCGCCTTTCCAATAAAAAAATAATAATAAAAATAAATCTTTAAAAAAAACAAAATGAATCATGACCATACCTGATCTCAAAACATAACACAAAAGCCATAGTAATTAAAACATCATGGTATTGGGCTAAAAAAAAAAAATAAAAGCCACATCTGGCCAGGTGCATGGTGGCGTGCAATCCAGGGTCCCGTGATTTCAACTGAGTCCTCAGCTGTGTAGCAATGAGCTCACTGCCTGCTCAGCATCCCTGTCTCCCAGACCTTGCAGGCCTAAGGAGTCCTCGGCTGCATGCTCTCCAGCCTGACCCCAGCATCTTCCCCTCCCCAACCCAGTCTTTCCAGCCACCAAAGCCCACTGATCTTCCCACCACCTCACCCGTTGCACTGCTGTAGCTTCCCACAGGCCACCCTCTCCCTGCATCACCCAGGCCAGCTGGCTTTCCACCTGCAGCCAGCGGTGCAGCAGGCCAAACCCTTCGCGGTCCTCAACCCTCTCAGGTCTTCGCTGTGACACCACGACCCAGCACCTGGCTCTCCTCCCTCCCAGCATCCCTCCTCCTGCTGCTGCGGGGGCAGGGGTGGTGACCTTCCCCCAACTCAGATCTCCAGAGCCATCATACCCACCAAGCCAGCCTCTATACAGACCACTTCCCATCTTCCCAACCCATGTCTGGCCAGGTCCTGGCTAATGCCACTGGGAAAACAGCAGCAGCAGAAGATGGCCCAGGGACTTGGGCTCCTGCACCCACACGGGACACTCGGGGTGAGGCTCCTGACTCATCACTGGCCATTGCAGCCATTTGGCGAGTGAAAGGGCAAATGGAAGCTCTCTCTCTCTTCCTCTTCAATTCTTTCAAGATAAAGACATAAATATTTAAAACAAACAAAAAGAGACAAGGCTCCAAAGAGGAGAATTTAATACAAAGTGGGGCAGGGAGTAGGGCATGGCCTGGGAGGCACTTAAATAAAGAGGTTTGGGGGGATTAGGAGCCGGCGGCCGCAGGCCCCGGTGCCCTGCGCAGCGGGATGATACACACGGAGTTGCGAGCTTCTTTGATCCGCCACCAGCGGCCAAGCCTGCATGGAACCAGAAGAGTGGCAGCTGACAGCCAGCCCAGCTCCTGCCCTATTCCACCCAGCTGCCCAGCCAGTACCACCTTCCCCTTCCCTCAGCCCTCAAGGGTACCACATACCTGTGCTCCTGTCCCACCCCAGCCACCAGAAAGTCTCCTGTGCTGGAGAACTTGAGGCTGTTGATGAAACCCACCTAAGGAAAGAGGGATTGTATGGTTGAGACATTATAGGCACACCTCCCCCACCATGTCCCAGCATCAAGGTCAAGGGTGAGAACTTCCAGGCCTGGGCACCTGATTACCTAGCCCAGCCCTTTACTCTCAGGGACTCAGCCTCCACCTCGGGGAGATGGGGGAGCAGGGTACCAGCCTGGCAGGGGGACTGTGAGAACCAAGGTGATGGTCTATACACAGGTGTGGCCTGACTTCTACCCATGGGGCCTGGGAGACCTGACATCACCCCTGGCCCAAGTCTTGCAATGTCCGTCCATGGACTCGGATTCTGCCACCCTTCCCCAGGTCACTCCTAGTGAAGAAAGTCTACATGCCATGGCCTGGTACCCTCCCAGGCATAACAGCACCAGACCACCAGGCCTTTGTCCACACCGTGCCCTGACTTGGGCCCCAGCTCTTAGGACAGGAAGGGAAGCAGAACCCAGGGGAGCGGGGAGAAAGGAGGGTGTTGAAGAGCTAATTCCAGGGGCCAGGGGCCCTTCTCACCAGGGGGATGTCGCAGAGATGGCTGAGCTGCCGGAAGCTCTCCCCGCACTGCCACAGCCGCACACAAGAGCTGTGGGAGCCTGGGGGACAGGCAGACAGTGAGCAACCCCCAGCCAGGTGCGCCCTCTCCCAGTCCTCCCCAGTCCTACAGGGCACACCACCTGTAGCCACGAGGTCGGTATTGAGCAGAGCTGCTACGGATGACACCCAATAAGGCTGTTCCAGGCCTGGCTCCCCTCGCAGCCCATGAGCGTCACGCTGCACGACAAGCGGCCGCTTCTTGGAGAGGCCCCACAGAGCCACAGAGCTGTGGACACGGGGTACAGGCAGTTAGGGCTGGGGTGGGACAGAAGGGTGCATGCCCCATTGTGCTTGTTAGTGATGGGAGGGGCTGCTAGGACCGTTGAGGTGGCATAGCAGGTAAAGCGACTTTCTGGTATACCAGCTTCCCATCTGGGCACTGGTTTGAGACCCAGAAAGCTAATATGCCTGGAAAAGCAGCAGAAGATGGTCCCAGACACTCCTATGGGAAATCCAGAAGAAACCCTGGGCTCCTGGCTTCAGCCTGGCCCAGCTGTGGCCATCTGGGACATGACCAGTAGATAGATGATCTCTCTGTAACTCTACCTTCCAAATAAATGGAAGGAAGGAAAGCAAGGGGGTTCAGCATTTCCTCCATAGGTTGGGAGTCTACACCCAGGTCAGCACCCCAGAGCGCAGCAGCAGCCGGGAGACCTATTGGGAGGGTGGCTCTTACCCATCGTCGGCACCAGAGACCATGTGCTCTTCGTTGATGAGATGGATGCAGTCAATGGAGCCCCTGCAGAGATGCGTGGTAAGGCCCCGCACCACCCCAGCCCTGCAACAACCCCGTGGGCACCCAGTGCCTTACTGGTGCCCGTAGAAAACGAGCTGGGACTCTTCGGGGATCTTCCACACGCGCACAGTCCCATCCCGGCCCCCGGCTGTCACACAGGCCTCCCGGCTCAAGGCATCCAAGGCAGCCACGGCGTCCTGGTGGCCAAAGCTGCCGGGCAGAGGAGATTCGGGCTCACACAGGGTCACGAAGGGTCACACGGAAGGGAAGGAGACCACATGGGACACGCACATCCCTGCCCGGGTGCACTCACAGTGTCTCCACATAGGAGTTCTCAGCCACATTCCACACCTTCACGGAGCGGTCGTGGGAAGTGCTGTAGAGCTGGTGGGTGCCTCTGCGGAACGCCAGCCCCTAAGGGTACGGGGAGAGGGAGCAAGCCAGCCTGGAGCCCAGTGGGAAACAGACAGGGCTCCGGCCGAAGAAGCAAGAGCCACAACACTGTGTGAACGCCCTCTGTGGCCCCACCTGCAGCCAGTACTGTGCTTGTGTGCCATGGGGCAGCTGCAGGTCTGCGACGGGGGAGATCCCAAGCCACAGTTCCCCATAACTCCACTGCTCCCCGCCATTCCTGACAACCCCACCAGGTCCACGTGCAGATCATCTGCCAAGGCCAGCCCTGCTCCTTACTGACACGGCGTCCCGATGCCCTGTGAAGGTGTACAGGTGCCGGCAGCTCTGGGCCTCCCAGATGAGGATTAGCTTGCTGCAGTCGCCTGAGGCCTGGAGGGTGGGGGTGAAGAGTGAGGGGGTGAAAACAACATCCACAGGCACCCATCGAGCCCCCAGGGCTGACCAGGCCTTACCAGGTACTTGCCGTCCGAAGAGATGGCCATGCAGAGGATATGGCTGCTGTGGCCAGGTGGCTGCCCCTCAGCGCCCTTCTTGGCGCGTGGGATCACGTGCAGCTTTCGGCCATTCTCCACGCTCCCTGCCACCAGGTGAGGAGGAAAGAGGCTACTGGGATGGGGAATGGATTGCAAGGAAAGATGGGGCCCAGGATGGGGACGGGAGCTGGACAAGCCCCCTCTTCTGTTCAGTAAGGCCCACTCAAAGGGCACCCAGAATGCCCAGAGATAAGTGAAGTTGGTGCAAGTTCTTCCCAAGGCTGCTGTGGCTGGGTGAGGACAGCATTCAGTTGCCAGGAGGAGGACCCAGTAGAGCCCAAGACAACATCCCAGGACTCCACAAGCCACGTCCCAACTCTTCTAGCCCAACCCCCAACCTGCACCGCCAATCCTCACTCAGTCACCATCCTGCCTTGGTCCATTGGCCTATGTGGACAGAGAGATGGGCAAACTGGCTTCCAAATGCTTCCCCAGCTAGGGTTCAACTGATGAGACTACCACTCTCCTCATGCCAGTGTCCCCTACTGAACCCTGGGGCTGTGCCCCCCCACCCCATCCTAGGCACTCACTCACACTTAATGATGGTACAGTCTTTGGCAGCAGAAAAGATGGCCAAGTCATCAGGAGTGATGACCAAACAGGTGATGGAGAGCTGATGGCCCCGCAAAACTCGGATGTCGGCTGGGGCTGGGGCCTGGACCTGGGTGGGCAGCACTGGGTCACCGTGGATGGGGGCTTGAAGGCACCTGCCCGGTACCAACCCAGCCGTCCCACTTTGACCAAAAGGGAAATGTGAGGCTGTCAAGACCAGGTCCTTACTTGACCTTCTGTCCAGCATGGCCCAGGGCAAAATCCCACTACAGCACCCCCGCAATCCCAGGGGGACCCTCAGCTTTCTCCAAGTTTACACCCAAGGGGGGCATGCACTCACCTCCTTTGCCACCGACTTCTGCAGCCTGCCCCTCTGCTCAAGCTGCCCAGAGAGACACAACGTGAGGGCCGTGGGGCAGGCTCAGCCCCTTACCACTGCCCTCCTCTCCCTCTGCACCTACCACATCCTCCTTCAAGCGCCCTGCAACCTGGTCCTCTTCGAAGGCGCGGACCTCAGCCTTCTCCTCCTCTGTGCAGGACAAACCACACTGGGTAAACAGAGGCTGAGGACCCACTCCCCTCCCCACCAGGGAAATCCACCAGGGCAGACTGGCTGCTCTCCTTCTGCCTTTTCTTACCAGGCCTGCCCAGAGTCACCTGTATGCCTGGCTTGCTCCAGGAAGCCTGTTACAGCTCCTAGCCAACCCTCTTGAGCACAGCTTGCACCGAGAGCCCTGGCAGCCTGCGGGACCACTGTATCCCCCATCAGATAGTCCAGGGACCCTCCCCTTGCCGGCACAGGGCTAACCTTGCTGCCTGAGCTGTTCAAGGTAGAGTTTGGCCAAGCGCAGCTTCTTCTCCTGGGCGGTCTCCTCCAGCTCTTCCTCCTCCTCTTCCTCTGTTCTCCTTGGAGCTAGGCTGTGTACAGGAAGGCTCCAGGTCTGATGGAGTTTACTCTGCTCCTCCAACCACCACGACCAGCAGGGCTGCCCTGACACTCTCCCTGCTACTCAGCCTTCCCTGCTCTCCCCCCTCCCCGCCCACCATTCCCGTCCAGTCCCCAGGGCCAGTGCTGCCACATAGCGGAAGATCAAAGGATGCGGGTGAACAATCGGAAAGGCCCCCCTCGGTGCCCAGGGGGAAGAAAGAGAAGCTTCCAAGGGAAACCAGGTCACCCTCAAAGGGACAGGAATCCAAATGGCTCCAGATGTCTCACAGCCACAATGAGAACGAGACAGAGGAGTGCCACACACATGGCACTGGAGGGGCATGCTCAGCCCTGCAGTGCCAAGCACGGCTAAAGCAACAAAAACAATGCAAGATGGTGGCAGGAGTGTCAGGTGCCCTCCATCCACACAAGAGGGTATAAAGCCAGGAGAAAGGAGAGGTGGGATTCAGACACAGAGGGCAACACGCAGGGGGACCCCGAGCCAACAACCCTTCCCACATGAGGGCCAGGGACCCAGGAGGCACCCACGCTGGTGCCTCCTCTCATCCAGAGGACAAGGTTGCAGTGGAATTCTGACCAGCCTGGCCTTGTCCTTGGCCTGCTCGAGCTCACGATTTCCCCTCAGTACACCTGCCCCTGGGCTGGCCGAGGACCTACACTCAGACACAGGACCTACTGTGACTGGTCCTGGGAGCGGAGGTCGGGCCCGGGGACTCAGCAGCAGAAAACGCAGGGTAGGCCACTCCCTCTGCCCACGGCTCTGGGCCTATCTCCTCTCTGTCAGATGCCCCAGTGGGGTCCCCCAGGACACACTCAGGACCTTATGCACCAGCCCCCAGCAGGGGACACTGAAAACTCTTGGCAAAGGCAAGACCGAACACACTGGCCAGACCAGTAGGCCTCCAGAGGCTCCCTTACACAGTCAAGCTTGGAACTTCTACTGATGGCCCCAAACCCATCAATCTGCTTTGTTTAGGGAAGGCAGAAGGCTGAGGGGGAGAACACACGCAGGTTCCATTCACCAGGCATTCTGGGACAGACACACCAGGGATCAGCGGTTAGCAGGGAATAAGGGACAGGGGGTTTTGGGGGTCGGGGCGGGGATGTAGATGTAACGAAATCCACCTGTCCATATTGGTGACAATCACACAACTGTGTCTTTGTCAAAACTCACCTAACTAGATCAGAGAAAGCTGAATATCACTGTGTGTGAATTATACCCAATGACGCCATTTTAAAACAAAAATTTTTTTAAAGGAAGAAAGAAAAGTAAGCAACTCAGTGAAGTCAGGGAGGCCAGCTGGTGCTGGTGGAGGGACCCACGACCTGTCACCACGCCATCCCTTCTTTGTGAAGCACACACACGCTGAGCACACACTTCTGCATTACCAGGTTTGTGGCACAACTTTCAAGAATGCTGGAAGGCACTAAGCACGGAGCCAGCACACACACAGGAACACAGGGAGGTTAGCCTTAAGGAAAGCGTAGGGGCAGGGGACAATGTTGTAGCACAGCGCTTATCTCTCCCTGGCTTCATAACCCTGCCTTTCACACAAATAATCAATCTTAAAAACACAGTAGGCTATCTCAGGAGCAGAATGTCTAACGCTCACTCCTGGGGAAGGCGCTCAGGGTCCCTGGGATGAGCCTCCAACATGCCAGATCCTGTGAAACCTCCCCAACCACACCTGCAGAGGGGGAGGCGTCCAATGCCCTCCTCCACCCGTTCGGCCACAGAGTTTTCTGGGAGCCCCTCAAGGCCTTCTCTACTGTCCCACTACAGACTCCTCAAAAGTCCTTTTCATCTGTTCCCATAATGCAGGGCTAGCAGGCACACACCTTGGCACCACACACTCCCTCTGCACCTGCCTGCTCACCTCCTGGCTTCCAACAGCAATGGCAGTGCCTGGGCGTGCCCAAAAACAGACCAGCACCTGTGAGCAGTCCCTCCATCTCCCCTTTCCCAGCCCCAGAGCCATGTACCAGGGACGTCTCCCCCTGGGCCCTTGGGGGTCAGATACCCTCAAGGAAAGTGAAGCTTCTGAAGGTTAGACTCTGGAGGAGAGCCGTGCCAGGCAGGAGGCCCGGCTCCATTCCGACCCTCTGAGTGCCCCCCAGCTCACCTCTCGCTCTCTGAGTCGCTGGAGATCTCCTCGTTCATCTTGCCTCCACCCTTGGACTTGCCCCTGTCGCCTGCAGAGTCCGCCTGGGGATCACAGGATTCCTTGCTTCATTTAGGGGTCTCGATCGCTCTGGTACTGACCCAAGCGCTCCCTCCACTCGTCCCTACGTCCCTCTAGAGGCCCAAGGGCCCTGGTCAAGCGCCAGGGTTTCCAGGATTGGAGCCGCGAAAGGAAGGACCAAGTTGTTTGCAGCCGGGGTCCTGGGGTGGAAGGGCTGAGGGCCCGGGGTTCGCGTCCCTCGGCTGGTAGCCAGCCCAATCGCAGCTCACCTTTCGGCGTCGCTTGCCGGGCCCTGCCCCGGCCCCGATCCCCGAGGCCGACTTTCCCCGCTTGCGAGCCCCAGTGGTGGCCGACATGCTGCCCGCCGTGTGCCTGGCAGCCGCAGCGACAGAACTCACGTGGCAGCTAAGCCCCAGCCGCTCGGCAAGACTGGGCACTTTGATTGGCTCCCACCAGCGGCGGGCCACGCCCCCCCACAGCTCCATTGGCTTCTTCGGCCATTTGGTCACGCCTCCAGAAGCCCATAGGATAGACCTCTGTAGCCACGCCCCATAGAGCGCCTATGGCTTCCCGCTCCTCCTGGAGTAGGAAGCACGCCGGTCCCTGGCACTTCCGCCCCGAGGGGGGGGCGCGTGCGCCGAGCTGCCGGCCGTCTGCCTAGGGAGGGGTGGAAGCAGAAAACGCAGACTCGCTGTGTTGGCGCTGTCTGTCCACTTGGGGGCGCCAGAGACACAGGTTCCACATTCTGGAGCGCGACTCCCCCCTCCCTGTTTGTGTTAAACTTGTCTAAGTGTCAACAAAAGTTAGGAGAGCGTTGGAGGCCATCCAGGCAGCCCTGGAGGAGAGGACAGTGCCCAACGTCACTGGTGCACACTCGGGGCACAATCCAGGTCAGATGCCTGATGCTCAGGGTGCATTAGAGTCCTGAACTTTATGTGTCCAGATGAGTACTCACCCACTGGTGTGAAAGTGCTCAGTTCTGATTCACCCCACTAGTGAAATCATCTCATTTCCCAGATCTTCTCCTCCCCCTGGTCAGTGTTAGAAAGTCCCTGACTGCGTGGTCCTGAAATTCACTACACGTCACAACAGGAACTGCAGTCTTGGGACTGCTCGGGAGGAGCCTGCAGCCATTCGGTCGGACTCCTAGATGAGTGCCCTGTGGCCCTGCCCACAGGCCTCAGCAGGGCAGGGCAGGGCAGGGCAAAGGAATGAGACTGGCTTCTATTTAGTGACAGTGCACGGCCACTGATCAGGAACTCGAGTTGGCCCCCGCAATTCTTGCCTCCTTAGGTAAGTGGATTCTGGACCACTGGGCCCAGGCTCTGGGGAGACAGATAAGACCTGGGCAGTGCTGCCCACCAGCAGACACTGCCCTCCACCCTCCTCATGACTCAGCCCAGCTGCTATGCCAAGTCCCAGCTGGTGGCAGGGGGAGGAATAGGGAAACTCCAGACTTTCATTTCCCCAACCACCCTGAGCCTGATCCCTGTGGGCAAACTGGACAGGGTCCTGACTTCGCACGTATGGCTGGGAAAGCGGCCTCTACGGGGTAAGGAGACGGGTGGGATCGAGGATAGGGTAGAAAGGGGGGGTGGAGGGAGAGGCCAGGGCAGAACCCGTGAGTGCTGGGAGGCCTACAGATGCCTTGCTGTGCCCCAGGACAGTCATGGCTCCCAAGCGCCAACCCCCGCCACAGAACGCAGGTCCCCTGAAGAAGCAGGGGCGCCTGGACGCAGGCGAAGAGGACAGATTTCACTCCACAGTCCAGGCCCTCCGGGCTGCACCCACTGAGCAGCGAGTGATCCACGTGGACTCTGAGTGCCCGCTCTATAAAGAGCCCGGGACCCAGGTGAGAACAGGCCTGTAGGTGCCACCCTCATCCCCCTATAAGCTGCAGAGCTAAGTCACTTCCTCCCAAGGTCAGGGCTGTATTCCATGAGGTCTAGCAGTCTCCCCACACAGACCTCCCCCCATCCCCATGGCACTTGGGCAAAAACTCCAACTCCTCAGTCTCCCCTCAGCTTGTCTGGGTCCCCTCCAGCCAGGTACTGGCAGCCCTGCCACCCCATAGGCCCCTCCACCTGCCAGGATTCAGCCTGGCCCAGCAGCCCCCTTCCCCTAACACAGGTGCATGAGGACTACAGCTGTACCCTGAACCAGACCAACATTGGGAGCAACAACAACAAGTTCTACGTCATCCAGCTGCTGGAGACCCCCAGTGGCTTTGCCTGCTGGAACCGCTGGGGTCGCGTGGTGAGGACCACCCCCTTCCCCGCCTCCTCCTGCCCAGGACCCTGAAAGCACCCCCACCCCACTCCACCCACAGCAGCAGACTGTCTCTCCCAGCCCACTTCCCTCCCCTTCCAGCCATCCTGGGGTACCCAGCACCAGCACAGAGGCTGGCAAGGCCTTTCAGCTGGCACCACCCGCTGAAGGCTGCCTTTGGGCAGGGCGAGAAGGGCCAGAACAAGCTCAGGAAATTCACCAGCCTAGAAGATGCCAGGAATGACTTTGAGCAGAAATTTCAGGAGAAGACCAAGAACAAATGGGCAGAGCGGGATCACTTTGTGGCCCACTCTGGCAAGTACACGCTGATCGATGTGCAAAGGGATGAACAGGCCCAAGAGGTCATGGTGAAGGTGAGGGCTGGGAAGTGGGCTGTACCACTGCCTGGGTGGCCAGGATGTTGGGCTTTGCACTGCTCCAAGGGGACCCTACCCACCGGTACCCATCTTCTCAGGTGGAAGGAGGCCCAGCAAGTGCTGTGGCTATGCAGGTGCTGCCCTGCTCCCTGGACCCTGCCACACAACAGCTGATCACCAACATCTTCAGCGAGGAGATGTTCGAGGGTTCGATGGCCCTCATGAACCTAGGTGAGGAGCTGGTGGGGGTGGAGGAGGGGCAGAGGGGACTGGGTGTAGTGGGGAGCAGAAGGCAGAATTAGGTTAGGGGTTAAGTGGTCCAGGGATCTAAGGGTCCAGGCTGAGCAACCCCGTGCCCTGGTGCCTTAGATGTAAAGAAGATGCCCCTAGGCAAGCTGAGCAAGCAGCAGATCGCCACTGGCTTCGAGGCCTTGGAGGCCCTGGAGGAGGCCCTGAAGGCCCCAGAGGGCAGTAGTCACAGCCTGGAGGAGCTGTCCTCTCGCTTCTACACTGTCATCCCACACAACTGTGGCCGCAGAAGGCCTCCTCTCATCAACACGCCAGAGCTGCTGCGGGCCAAGAAGGACATGCTGCTGGTGAGAGGTGGCAGAGGGGCTATGGTGGGCAGGGGGAAGGGCCTGACATAGACCTGGTGAGAACAGACAGGTGTACACATCGGCGGGAGGCAAAGGGGATGTGGTAGGCAGGAGGAAGGTGGCCAAAGGTCAAGAGAGTAGGGCCAGCTGCCAGTGACATTCATTATCCCAGGTGCTGGCGGACATCGAGCTGGCCCAGGCCCTGCAGGCAGCCCCAGAGGAGGAGGTGAAGGTAGAGGAAGTGCCACATCCATTGGACCGCAACTACCAGCTTCTGAAGTGCCAGCTTCAGCTGCTGGACCCTGAAACATTGGAGTACAAGGTGTGTGTTGGGCTCACCGAGGAGCCACCCTGTGGTGGGCATCATCCCATGGGGTGCCCAGGGGGGCCCTGAGCCTGGCAGGGGCGTGGCAGAGAAAGCTGATGCATAAGCCACCACCCTCCTCCCTAGCACTCACAACCCCCCAGCCCAGCCTCCATCTCCCACCATCGTTCTAGGTGATCTGTACCTACTTAGAGCAGACAAGCAACCCATACAGGTGCCCTACCCTACAGCACATCTGGAAAGTAAAACGAGAAGGGGAGGTGAGCAGCAGACCCCCCATCGTGTATACTACTGGCCATCACCCTGTTCCTTGACCACTGGGTCCCTTCGCAAGCTGGTTGAATGACTCTGGGCACTTCCCACCAGGCCCTGAGTGTGCATATAAGTGTGTGACACCTTGGGGGGGTGGTTGCCGAGGCACTCTTAGATGGCACAACTCCCACTCCCACACCTGCCCTGTCCAGGGGGACAGGTTCAAAGCCCACTCTGGGCTGGAGAACCGGAAGCTGCTGTGGCATGGCACCAACGTGGCTGTGGTGGCTGCCATCCTCACCAGCGGGCTCCGCATCATGCCACACTCCGGTGGCCGCATGGGCAAAGGTATCTACTTCGCCTCAGAAAACGGCAAGTCAGCCAGCTACGGTGAGTGACCCTGGGCGGGCATGGGGCCACCTAGGGAGATCACGCCTCATCCTTGCCCGTTGGGAACTCCTGTGTCTGGGGAAGGAACACTTCAATGCTCAGCAGGCACCCTGGGGCTCGTTGGGGTGGGAGAAGGATGCACAGAAAATGCCTGCCAGTCAGGGAGGGCTTCCAGGAGGGAGTGACACATGTAGAAAGAGTGTACCTGGGGAGGGGAGGGGTGCTGAAAGAAGAGTCTTCAAGACACTGGGATGAGCACAGTGCCCAGGAGAGTATGGCAGGCTAGAATGAGGCCAAGGGTGGGGGCCTTGGACTAACCAGAGATCTTAATCAAAGTGCAGTGGAAGGCATGGTTGGACTGTAAAACAGTAGGGCCTTGGTGGCTGCACGCGGGAAAGGATGGGAGAGGCCAGAGGCTATGTGGAGGCCAAGCCAGATGTGGTGAGCTCAGCACACAGTACAAGGGATGGGGCAGGGGCAGCAGTGAGGCGGGGATGAAACAGGCAGATGGAAGCACACTACGGCTGGAGTAGCCAGGGCAGAGGCAATGATGGCAGTGCAGGGCAGCCCAGAGCCAGGCAGCAGGCCCCAGGCCGGCCACCACTGAACCTCCTCACGCCCTGCAGTTACTGGCATTAATGGCATCGGCTACATGTTCCTGAGCGAGGTGGCACTGGGCCGAGAGCACCATGTCATGGCTGACAAGCCCAACCTGCAGAAGGCACCTCCTGGCTTCGACAGTGTCATCGCCCGAGGTCACACCGAGCCAGGTGAGCCCCAGGGGTCTGAGCAGGCCCAGCACCGCTTGGCTGAGAGGATGGGCAGGTCCTTAAACAAACACCCACAGCTCACCCAGAAGACTCTGAGGAGAGATGTTCCTGAAGGCTCAATAGGAGTTTTGCAGAGAAAAATAGAATTGGGACAGGGAGTGGTATATTCCAGGCCGAGGGTCCATCCTACACCATGGTGTTGAAGTGGGTAGGGGGCAGCACCTGCTGGCAAAGCCAGGGACAACAACCCTTACTCTGCCCTGCAGACCCAGCCCAGGACACCAAGCTGGAGTTGGATGGCCAGCAAGTGGCAGTGCCGCAGGGCAGGCCTGTGCCCTGCCCACAGTTCAGCAGCTCTCACTTCTCCCAGAGCGAGTACCTCATCTACAAGGAGAGCCAGTGCTGTCTGCGCTACCTGCTGCAGCTTCGCCTCTGAGCTGTTCCCCCCGTGCCCCAGCTCCCCAAAACCTGCAGCCTCCTCCCTGCCTGACCCCGACCACACCTCCCCACCCCTGGCACTCCTGCGGCTCCCCTAGAATGCAACACAGACCCCATCCCACAACACAGCCTGTTTAGTGGCTTACAGCTGTCTCAGTATGTATCGAGCACCTGAGATGATCACGGATGGCCGGATGGCCTCGCGCGGCCAGCCTTGGGGGCGACCTGACTGTGGCCAACAGTCACCAGGCCCTGACATCATACTCTCATACTCTCAGCCTTGAACTTCCCACCACGTCCCCAGCCCCTGGAATGCCCACCTTGCTCCCCACTCCAGTTAGTTACACATATAAGTGGAGTCACTTGCTGCTTGTGGCCTGATTCATCTGGCACCACGTCCTGCAGGCTCACTCCCCAGGGCTGCCTTCTTTGTCAAGGCTGCTGCCTAGCGTGCCTGTGTACTAGACTAACCATTCAGCCATCCACGGGCACACGGGAGGATTCCCTGTTCCCATGGTCTGGGGATCTTCTCGGCCTGTGGATTTCATTGCTTGGGACAAGAACAGGGCAACTGGAAGAGCAGAGAAGCTCCCCTTTTCGCCAGCCCCCCTGAGACCCCAACAGTGGCCTCCCTTCTCTTCAGTCCCTCCTAACCCCAGCGCCACTGCGGCCCCAGAGCCTTGCATAGAGGGTGAGAGAGGCATGGTGGTGAGGTGAACTCTGGACGCATAGGCTGTCTCATGAGTGGAGCACAGGCTGTGGGTGGGCAGGACATCCGCCTGTGCTGTCTGGAAGTGGGACCACTGGGACAGGCTCAATTGCAGGTGTGCCTAAGTGGAGTCATTGAACATGGTGCTCTCCTGCCTCCAGACTCTGCTAGTCTGTGTACTACTGTGCCAACTCCTGGCCTCTTTTCTCTTTAAAGAGACCAAGCACATGGCAGCTCCAGCCCTGCTGTAGGGACTGAATGCTCATGTGGGTCGGTGGAGCTCACACCACCTCTGGGCCACCTTGGCTTGTCAATCACCTGTGTCTTAGAATTGAATCTTTAAGGGGACTCTCATCATCAACCCAGAGCCATTTGTCCTGTGAGGACGCATGTGGTGTTACTATTATTATTGGAAAGGTAGAGAGAGACAGTTCACTACTCACCTGCTGACTCAATCCCCCAGAAGCCTGAAATGACCAGGACTGGGCTGGGGCTTGGGCCAGAAACTCACTCCAGGTCTCCCTCATGGGTGGCAGGGATCCTTTGCTGCCTGCCAGGGTCTGTCTGAGCAGGAGGCTGTGTTGAGAAATAGAGTGGGGCATTAAACCCAGGCTAGGATGGGGCACATGGGCATCCTTATAACCAAATGCCTGCCCCTCGCCAGGAAACTGTCCTTTGTCAGCACCCCTGCATACCTTCTGTCTGGAGCTAACAAGCCAGTTCAGCAGACAGCAGAGGATCTTCCGGGCTAGGGGACCACTAGTCCACTGCAGCCAAGGAGCACAGGTGTGGTGCCCACCCGGGGATGGGGAGGTCCAGGACAGGTTCACACACTCAGCTCTTGGCTGTGATATTGTTGCTGCTGGCACAGGGCAAGGCCCGCGGTTTTCCAGAAGGTGCCTCTGGGTCTGAGTTTTGTCTGATGTTTCATCGGGGCTGACACAGGTATGACATGGACAGGTGCACAGCATGAATGGATGACTCTGCCTTTGTACACTGCATTAAAAGGAACATGCCCCAATCTTGTCAATGTCCATGTACTTTGTGCCTTAATTAAAGTGGATGACAGCATTTCTCCTCAGTAAATTTAGCCCCTGTCCCTTTTTGTGGGGGAATACAGTGAGGGGCCAGTGTCCCATGGCCCATCCACTTTCACCCACAAACCTTACCACCCATTATTGTATTTACCACAATATTTTCTGAGATTGTTGCAAAACAGTTGTCCATTCTCACCTGATTTTATATTTACTAATTAATATTCTCCTTTATTCATCATTAGTGTAGACCTATCAATTCTTATTTCCTGCCATGGGTTACACTTCAGCCCAGCCACTACCTACTTTGACTCACAAATGATGCCAGATTTGGCCAGCAAAAGGGCCCATTCTGTGTTCCTGTCATTTCTCAGCACCTCCTCTCTTCTGGCATCACACAATGTTCCCAGAGCATCTTGTACAAACCTACAATCCATCATCTCCCCAAGGAGTTCTGGTTCCCTGGAACAGGACGAGGTGTTTCAAATTGGTCAGTAGATGGGATTATTTTAAAGATTCATTTCCTTTTTTATTTGAAAGGAAGAGTGTTCATATAAAGAGAGAGACATACACACACAAACACACACAGATCTTTCATCTGCTGGATCACTATCCAGATGACCACAAAACGGCTAGGACTGGGCCAAGCTGAAACCAGAGACCTGGAACTCCACCCTGGACTCTCACATGGGTGGCAGAGGCCCAAGCACATGGGCCTTCTCTTACTGATTTCCCAAGTATATTAGCAGGTTGCAGAATTAGCAGGAGCAGAATTCCTTTGTCAGGGTGCAATCCCCACAGGTGAGCAAAAGAACCAAGGCAAGGAGCAGCCCAGAGCAGAGCAGGTTACAGTACCTACTGGCATATGTGTGGCTCAGGTCTGGGAGCTGGCCAGGCTGTGCCAGTTCATAACACCCGCTGGCAGATCTCAGAACCAGGATAGGGCACAGGACAGGCTGGATTTGGCCGCATCACCAGCCAATTCGCATTAGGGCCAGGACTAGGGGCTGATTATGCTGGGTTGGGCAGCACCTGCCAGTGCAAGCTGGAACCAGGGCAGACTGGGCCAGACCTGGCTACAGCACCTGCCAGCAAATACCAAGGTAAGATAGGTCATGCCAGACTAGGTCACAGCACCTACCAGCACATGCGAGATTGGGAGAGATGTGCAAGGTAAGGGAGTAGTGGAGACTCCCCTGCTGGGCTACTGCTCCTGCTAGTGAGCATGAGAGCTGGAAGTAGGGGCAGACCAGGCCTGGCAGAGCTACAACACCTGTTGGCCTACATGTGAACCGGGTTATGGGGAGAGCGAGACTGTGCTAACCAACTGTATCCACTGGTGCAGGCATGAGACAGAGTAAGGGCAGGTAGGTTGGGCTTTGCTGTAACATCAGCTGGCAAGTGTTGGAACTAGGGGAAAGTCTTGTCAAGCTAGACTGCAGAACCACCTGGAGTGTGCAAGATACGGGGTAGGGAGTGGGTCCATTGGGGAGACTGTTGGGCTGCAACTCCCACTGGTGAGCATGAGAACCAGGACTGAGGGTAGCCTTGGCTGGACAGGTGGTGGCACCCACTGGCACACGTGTGGGCTACAGGGTGGAGTTGGTTGGGTTGAGTTAGGCTTCAACGCCCAATGATGTATATGAGAGCTGAAAGGGATGTGGGAGATTGAACCAGTCCCCTGCATGTGCTGGCAGGCACAGGAACCAGAACTAGGGGCTGGTCCAATGAGGGCTATTGGGGGTCACTCTAACGAGGCTTCAGTTCTACCTGGTGTAAGTGAGGGCAGAATGTGTGGTGGGCAAGGTTGGGCTGGGTCACAACACACATTGGTTTGTAGAGGAAGGACAGCAGAACAAATTAACCAACTACCCCAGAGAAATTTGACGGCAAATTTTTGGGCAAATGGAAACTCTGAAGTGGACTATGTCAGCCAATTGACCTTGGAAGGATTTCCTCATCCTTGGAGCAGCGATATCAACAGCATCTCAGAACTATGGAAACCACTTGATCAGAACTCTCAGAACATGCTCCACAACGGGGACCCTGGGATGACATCAGTACTGGGGAGGCTGGGTGTGGTCCTTCCCATTGTATCCTCCCCTCCCCAAATAGAGGAAGAAGAAAAAGAAAATGTGTAAACAATGGTCTTGCCCACTTTCCCCTGATCCTTGACCCTTCCCAATCTGACCAACTATGTAAACATAATCAAAAATAAAATAAAATTAAAAAATAGTGGAGCAGCCAGGACTAGAACCAATGCTTCACCCGGTGTACCACAATGCCAACTCCCTGAATTAGCTTGGTATTTTTTTTTAAGATTTACTTTTTAAAGATTTATTTATTTATACTGGAAAGAATTTACAGAGTGAAGGAGAGACAGAGAAAGATCTTCCATCTGCTGGTTCACTCACCAAATGCCTGCAGTGGCTGGTGCTAAGCTGATCAAAAGCCAGGAGCTTCTGCTGGGTCTGCTATGTGAGTCTCTCTACCTGCTTTTCCAGGACACAGGTAGAGGGCTGAATTAGAAGTGGAACAGCTGGTGTCCATGTGGAATGCTGGTGCTTGCCGGTGGAGGGTTAGTTGAGCCATCACACTGGCCCCAGCTCTGTACTTCTTTTCAGGATGGCTTTGTCAGTCCTCTGAAACACAGGTAGGCTTATTTGTTGTTTATATGCACTTTCAGCTTTATTTCATTTTATCTTTGTTCATTTGGTGTTTTCAACATGGAAGTTGCCAACATAGCTCCCCAAACTCCACACTGGGGTGTTCAGTGTACCCCCTGGGGTGCCCACATCCCATATCTAGTTCCCAAGGTCATGTCCCAGCTCTGCACTACATTCCAGCTTCCCGCTAGGATGTACCCTGGGAGCCAGCAGACAGTGGCTCCAAGGACTTGCTCACAACCTGGCCCAGGCCTGGCTGCTGTGAGCATTTGAAAGTGTCCCTGTGAACAGGATCTGAATTAGCAGATAGAGCTCTTGTCTACCTCTGTGCTGGGGAGGAGAGAGACATGAATTCCAGGACCCGCAGGGGTGGAGGAGCAGAGGCAAAGAGAACAGTAAAGAGGATACAGGGACAGGTTGGGAGAAAGACAGCGTGGCTGGGCCTGGGGATCCCAAAGGGTTGGAGATGGGGCAGCTTTAGAAGGCACTAGCTCAGGCCCGGGCCTGGCATCATGACCTAGCAGCTAAAGTTCTTGCCTTGAATGTGCTGGGATCCCATATGGGCACCGGTTCTAATCATGGCAGCTCCACTTCCCATCTAGCTCCCTGCTTGTGGCCTGGGAAACCAGTTGAGGATGGCCCAAAGCTTTGGGACCCTGCACCCCTGTGGGAGACCCGGAAGAGGCTCCTGGATCCTGGCTTCGGATCGGCACAGTACCGGTCGTTGTGCTCACTTGGGGAGTGAATCATCGGACGGAAGATCTTCCTCTCTGTCTCTTCTCCTCCTCTCTGTATATCTGACTTTGTAATAAAAATAAATAAATCTTTAAAAAAAAAAAAGCAGTAGAAGGCACTAGCTCAACTAGGGGAGACTGGGAAGAGCATGAGGGCTCAAGAGAGGTGACTCTCTTTTGGAATCAGTTGGATGAAAAATGTCCCATCAATGCAACCACCAGGGGAAATGCTGAAGAGGCAGCTGAGACCCACAGCTGGGGTTCAAGGGAGAGGAAGCTGCAGGTACAAATGCAAGCGATCAGGGTGCAGATAGGGGTTTGCTGGGTGAGCTGGGCAGTCCCAGTTCAGTCACATAGCTCTCTGGGCTGGGAGCAGATATCACTCACTGATGGCCAGGACTGGGTGTGATACCTAATTGGAGAAATGAAAGGATGGGATCTTGTCCACCCAAAGTGAATGTCCCAGGAATTGGGGAGGGGTGGTTTCCTAGAGAGAAGACAATGTGCTTTTACCCAAAATGGGCTTGTTTGCTAGCAGCAAAAGCAAGCCAACCAGAACAGCAGCAGCCTGCAGATGCCTAGTCAGTTACCCACGACTGTGAAGGGGCCCCCACGTCATGCCCAAGTTAACTCTGGCTGGGCACCTGCTAGATGCCAGGATCTGTGATTCAGAAAGAGACAACTTGTTCTCCTTGGCCAGTGTATCCCTGGTCAAGTGGCCTCAGATCCTGGCTCACCCAGGTACCCCAATTTCCCTAGAAGAACTAGCTGTAATTTGATCACCCCCTCTCCCAGGGGTACAGGGGTCACGTCCTACTAGCAGGAAAAGCAAAGCAGCAGACAGTCGCTTCCAAAGTGTGCACTCAATCCTCTCCTCTGTCCCCATGTCCCTCCAATTCCAGGTACCTTCCAAGCACTTGCCCACAGCACAGCCTCCAACCTCCAGCCTCCAGCTGGCAGCTGCTAGGACCCAGGGGTCTGGCGCCAGGCCCTGCTCCTCCCCTGCCAGCTCTATGCATCTCCAGAGGGCCGCATCAGAGTAACAGCCAGTCCCATCTCCGGCAAAGGCCAAGCTGCTGGAGCTGGGCTGAGCCAGGGGACAGAGCCAGCAGGCTTAGCCTTGCACCTCTCCATGGGGCTGGCCAAGCCCCCAAGAAAATGGCAGCCTGGGCATCAGAGCCGCCTCCTGGGCAACCTGTAAGGTGAGGGGCCTGAGGAGGAGTGAGGGGCAGGTGGTGGGAAATCTGAAGCTGGGGGTACCCGTTTTGCTCTCTCTGCATCCTAGCACAGGTGAAGGCTGGACGCTCAGATGGCCAACACTACGGAACTGACCGGTACAGAAATCGCAGGTTCACTGGGGTTGATCCTGGCGGCTATCTTGGAGGTTGGGGCCCTGCTGGGCAACGGTGCTCTGCTGATCATAGTGCTGCGCACGCCCGGACTGCGCGACGCGCTCTATCTGGCGCACCTGTGCGTCGTGGACCTGCTGGCAGCCACCTCCATCATGCCATTGGGCCTGCTGGCCGCGCCCCCGCCAGGCCTGGGCCGCGTGCGCCTGGGCCCTGCGCCCTGCTGCGCCGCACGTTTCTTGTCCGCAGCACTGCTGCCGGCCTGCACGCTAGGCGTGGCAGCACTCGGCCTGGCGCGCTACCGCCTCATCGTGCACCCGCTGCGGCCAGGCGCGCGACCGCCTCCTGCACTCGTGCTCACGGCCGTGTGGGCTGCGGCCGGGTTGCTGGGTGCACTCTCTTTGCTCGGGCCGCCGCCCGCACCGCCCCCCGCCCCAGCTCGCTGCTCGGTCCTGGCCGGAGGACTCGGGCCCTTCCGGCCGCTCTGGGCGTCCCTGGCCTTCGCTCTGCCCGCCCTCCTGCTGCTCGGCGCCTACAGCGGCATCTTCCTCGTGGCGCGCCGCGCCGCGCTCCGACCCCCGCGACCCGCGCGCGAGGCGCGGCTGCGTTCCGACTCGCTGGACAGCCGCCTCTCCATTCTGCCGCCGCCGCTCCGGCCTCGCCTGCCCGGGGGGAAAGCGGCCCTGGCCCCAGCGCTGGCCGTGGGCCAGTTTGCAGCCTGCTGGTTGCCTTACGGCTGCGCGTGCCTGGCGCCCGCAGCGCAAGCCGCGGAGGCCGAGGCAGCCGTCACCTGGGTCGCCTACTCAGCCTTCGCCGCTCACCCCTTCCTCTACGGCCTGCTGCAGCGCCCCGTGCGCTCTGCGCTGGGCCGTCTAACCCGCCGCGTTCTGCCCCAGCCGCCGCGCACCTGCCCTCCACGGGCCTGGCACCCACGGGCACTCCTGCGGCGCTTCCACCGACCCCCTCAGAGCCCTGCCCCAAACCCTTCAGAAGCACCAGAACCGGTCCCCAAGTTGGCAAGAGGGCGGAGCCTGACCGCGCTGTGCTGAACTGAAGCAAAGGTGTGGAAGAGAACCCTGCACAGGAGCTGGAGGTGCCAGCTGGGACTTCCACTTTATAACAGGAGAAAAGCTGCTAGGAGCCTGGCAAGACCGGGAGCCCAGAATGCAGGGTTCTGGACCCGCGCACCGCATGACCCTGTGCACGGGACCTACCAGTCTTCCTGCCTCAGTTTCCCCATTCTGTATGTGCCCTGCAGTGTGGGCTGTTAAACTCAGTGAAGGTCTCCAAGCCCGGGAAGGAGAAGAATTGCACAAATGGAGAAGAGGACATAAGGGCTAAGTGATGGGCTAAGCAGGGTAGGGTGGGCGCTACAGCCACAGCAGGAAGAACCAGTACAGAGATGCTCAGGAGGACTTCCCCACCGTCTGTGACAATGAGAGGCTGGACAAGGTTGTTGAGCCACTTCCACCTGCTTCCAAACTCTCATGAAACAACTGATGCACCCATGTGGTACTGGAAACAGGCAGCTGGATATGGCCCCTGCTGGACCCCTGAAGGGACCGAACTGGCGCAGCCCAGTGGGAGCTGGTAGGGTTACAGGTGGGGCTCTTCCTCTGCACCCACTTCCTGGAAGTTTTGCTCACCCCACCCCACCCCACCCCATTCCGCAATACCAGTATTTCATAGCTTCCTGGTCGCTGAGAATGTTTATTCAAAAACAGGAATTGAAAAAACTGTACAGTGTTGCTGCTCAGAACTGGACCCCTGCCCCCAAGCCCCACCCCCCCAGCTTGGGAACAGCCCCCTCTCTGGGCTGCCCACCAACAAGCCCAGCCAGTCCATTCCAGTCACAAGGGCATCAGTGGAAGCAGCAGGAACCGGCAGGGAGATGGGGACGAGAAGCATGGCTCCAGGCACTCCCAAGCTCTCTTCCCACAGGGGGCTGGAAACCCAGAGGAATGGGGAGTATAGGCGTGACCACCCCCAACACGGTGGGGGCACCAGGGAGGCCACTGGCTGCTCCCTGCACCCAAGCACAGAGCAGAGGGGATGGGGTCCCCTGCCCCAGGGGGTGGGGTGGGGCTGTTGCAAGCTCCCTGAGCCCTGGGCTGGGAACTGCCCCACTGAGAGAAGCTGCACACACCCAGGCAGGGTAGGGAGTGCATCCATGCGTCCGGCATTAGCGGCATTGGGGAGCCCTGGATGGGGTCTCCAGAGGCCAGGCAGGGGTGCAGAGGCAGCCCCCATGCCGGCGGTCCTGCCTGCCCCTGCTCCTGTCCTTGCCTGTGCTGCCGCCACCACTGCAGCCACCACCAGCCAGCCTCAGTAGGGGGAGAATTTCTGCCGTTCAGCTTTCTTGCTCCCATTGGCTGCTGCCATCTTGGCAGTGTAGGCCGCCAAGCCCGGCGGTGGGCCCGGGGAGGCAGGTGGTAGAGCCAAGAAGGGCACAGGCTTGAGGCCGATGAAATTGGAGAGGGAGATGGCATAGGGTGTGCCCAGCAGGCCCGGGGGAGCTGTGGGCAGGGCTGTCAGGGGTGGTGAGAAGGGGGCGGACAGGTCTGCGGGGGTGGAGCCGGGCGTCCCCCCAGAGGTAGACTTGGCCGTCTCTAGACTGGAGAGAAGGGAGAAAGGGAGAGAGGTCGGTGAGGGCAGATAGGGACCCCAAGTTAGACAACAGACAAGAGGGAGGAGCTGAGAACTGCAATAGGGAGTGAGTATGTGCAGGATGTGGGGTGGGAAATGTGGTGGGCGGGAAGAGAAGGAATGGCGAGTGGACAGCATGGAGAAGAAATGGCAGCAATTTGAAAAAGGGACATGAGGGCTGGGAACATGGGGAAAAGGTGGGACAATCTAGGGTGACTCAGGCACATCACAGGGAACGGGCCATGGCCGGGAGGTGCAGGATGGGCTCCCCAGTGGGCTCCCTGCCACTCCTCATCCCTGTCTTGCTGTTGCCCACGAGCCCTGGGCACTATAACAACCCATGCTCACCAGGCAGTGATGAGGTACTGGGCCAGGGCAATGGAGACTGGTGAGCCCGTGATGGTCACATGCCGCTCACCGGCGCCTTCTGCCTGGTTGCCAATCTTGATGTGAGCCCCCGACATCTGGCGGATCTCACTGATCTTGCTACCCTGGCGCCCGATCACACAGCCGATCAGCTAGGGGAGAACAAGAAAATTGGACTCTGGCCAAGAGCCATCAGGACCTCAGGGCACACCCTGCCCGCAGTGGTCCCTTCACCCCATCCCGACTCAGCCTCCAGCCACCCCAGGACCTGCTCACGTACGTCATTGGGAACCAGGAATTCCTGTGAGCTGGTCTGCGTGCCTGGATCCAGTCCTAATGGGAAGGAGAGGGGCTGAATGTTGGACTGGGCCTTTCCTACCTGCACCCCCTGCCCCATGCCCACTCTGGGGTAGGGAGGGCTATCAGATTCTTGGAATCTGTCCCTGCCTCCTTATGCAGGAGCTGCGTACCTGGCACCACACTGGGAGAAGCAAAGGGCACTGCATGGCCTGAGAGTTGCTGGAGCTTGGTGACCTGTGCCAGGAAACGGGGTTGGAGGTCAGTGGAGGCCAGCCTAGAGGCTAGGTTCCGGAAGGGGCACCAAGGGCTGCAGACCACTCACCTCAGCTGGGGTCACAGCCCCATACTGCCCCTGCACAGGGAAGCCCTGTGGGAACAAAGTGGGTGGAAGTGGTGGGGTTTACTGTTGTGATGGGTCCTGGCAACAAACCAATCACCATTCTTCCTCCCTGGGACCCTGAATTCCTACTTCCGCCCCCCTCCCTCTCTGAGTTCCCCTCACCTGGTTGGCAGAGAGGAGGACTGTACCCAGGGAGAGGCTCGGGTGGTAGGGGATGGTGGCTCCTTTGGGTGGGGACTGGAAGGCAGACGGGAAGAGGCTCTGTCAGGACCCTCCCTGCCAAGTGCCCCATGGCCCCATGGGACCTCAGGAGCAGTACATCCCAGCCCTGGCTGTAGGATGTGGGGTGCCACCAGGTTCACCCAGGGCCTCCCCTTCTGCCATTATAGTCCCCCTGGCATACCTCCAGGATCACAGCACAGATCTGTCTCACACACAGGATAATGGCATCAGGCACTCCAGACACAGTGACAGCGCGCTCTGTGGAGTTGGGAAGCAAGTCCCCCGCCACTTGCACTTGAGCACCTGTAGTCTGCAAACAGTACAAGGGCCACTGGTAACTGCTACTGCAGCTCAGAGAAAGGAAGTTCCTGGCAGATATGAAGCCATAGCCCATGGCCCCTGGCCCAGCTGGAGGGGTTGGGTTCCATCTCCCCTCACCTCTCGGATCTCTTTGATCTTGGTGCCAGCCTTGCCGATCAGCGAACCACACTGGCTGGCAGGGATGACAAGGCGCAAGGTCACGGGAGGCCTGGAGACATTCCCACCATTTGCAGGGGCAGCACAGAGGTCCTGTGGGGCATGGACGGAGAAGAGACTGTGCCCATATCTGCCACTCTGCAGCCCGCCCCCTCTCCAGCCTAGGGCCAGAGGGAGCCTCCCTCTAAGCCACAAGCCTGGGTCTGAAGTCAGAGCCCTCCTGTGCTGGCCAGCCACAGACCTCATCCAGCTTGAAGGCGATCATGGAGACAGCATGGAAGACAGCTGCTGTGGACCCAGTGATGGTGGTGATGCGCTCGGGGCAGGAGCCCTCGGAGATGGTGATCCGGGCACTGCTCTGTGGGTACAGGATGGGTGCTAGGTAGTGCGGCACCCTCCTCATGTTTTTGCCAGCCATCAGCCTGCCCCAGCCCTGGTCATCTCAGATGATGGAGGGCTTCACAGAACAGGCACCTCCCTTCCCCTCCCATCCACATCAGGTGACCGGGGCTTCTTCCATCTCTAGTCTCACCTGTTCCCGGATTCGCTTTACAGTCTCTCCCTTCTGTGAAGAACAAAACAGAGTCATTCTTAGCCTGAGCTATGATCGAGCCTCAGGGGGCAGAGGACACATGCAGAGTATGCAGGAACTGGGCACCTACCTTCCCAATAATGCTGCCCACCTCCTGCAAACAAGACAAGAATTGCCATCAGACAGGCACTGTGGCCCCTGGCCTGGCCCCTTGTCCCCCAGCTAGCCGAGGCTCCTTGGAAGACAGTCTCCTGCCATCCCTCCCTGCCCAGAATCAGGGTCCCTGCCTCCTCTGCCACTGGCCTGCCCCGACCCTCACCTTCCCATGCATCAGCATCCGCAGCGTGAGAGTGATGCTCAGCTCCGGCTCCTCCTCCAGCCCCGCGTCTGAGCCGCTCATCCTGTCAGGCGGGGCTGGGGCCACAGCGGCCTGGGAGAGTGTCCACGCTGCGGCCTGGCTGGCTCTGCAGGGGCAGCAGCAGAGGGGTAAGTGGGGAAGAGAATGGCCTTTGAGCTCTGATTGCCACCCCCAACAGATGTGATTGTGTGCGCCTCACAAGATGGGTTGCTGGATGCTCCAAACCTCCAGGGTAACCATCCCAGGAGTTGGGAGAAAAGGAGGAGAAACATTCCCCAGGGGGCCCCGGGTGTCTGAACCCATCCTTCCCAACTCCCTCCCAGCAGGAGATGAAACAAGTTAACCAGGTCTGTAGGGCACAGAAGGGCTGCATTCTTACTCTCTGATGGCAAACAAGAGGTGGCTGTGCCTATAGGCCAGGCCCTGCTGCTCAGTACAGAACACAGCAACCATAGCAGGTCCTGCAGGGAGGGTGGCTTCAGGAGAGGTGACCCTAGCTGCCAGGGGTCACTGAAGGAGTTGGGGGCGGAGCACAGGATGCCAGGGCCCAGGAAGGTGTGCAACACCAGTGATTCTAACTCCTCTCCCATGTGCTCAGGCTGGCCCCCGGGTCAGGAGGTGAGAAGGATGTGGGCTGCCCACACACCAGGCCTGGGGGGACACTTCCTACCCACTTCCCACCACACCTGGGCTCAGAATTTCATCGCCTGACCCTCTCTCTCCCATTGGTTACCAGAAGGAACTGCTGCCCCTGGGTACTGCGGACCGGGTAAAACTTGGATTTGATGGGCCACAGGAATGTCAAGGCCACTAACTGACAGTGGGAGGTGGAGCCTGCGATTAGCTGCGGGATTAGCTCAGCCGCCAGTGCTCCTCACAGACCCCTTTTCAAGCTCCGACTTAATCCTGACCCTTAATCCTGTTTGGAAATCCCTCTCTTTGAAGGCTGTCTCCTGCAAGGCTGAGTCTTGCAGGGCAGGGTAGCTCACAGGGGAACCAGAACCCTGAGAGGAGGACCCAAGAGTGGGACCAGCTACTGCTAAACCTGGGCCAAGACTAAGCCTTCACCCTACACATACCTTGTGCCAGGAAGGTGTGTAGGCAAAGCATGAGTGTGCCGAGCTTGGAGGGTTCCCCAGGTCTCTGCCCTGTCCTGGCATGAGGGTCTAGGATGCTGAACTTTGCCCAGTGCCCACTACTCAAACCCCCTCTGCTAGCCAGAACTCAGGCATGCAATGTGTAGGGAACATTCCCAGCCTAGTTCTTGGGGGTCTCTGCTTCCTAGGTTATTCAACAGTCCTGCTCCCTGCACCCCAAGGCTACCTGCTCCGCCTTGCCCTCCAGTTCTGCCCCAGGCTCTCCTGAGATGGGACAGCAGCAGTGGGTGGATGTAGGGACTGTCTACCCAGCATCCTGGCCAGCCTTGTGCTGGCTGCCCTTGCTCCGCATTCCCCTGGCAGCATGCACTTCCCCCATTAAAGCACTTGTGGTGACGTGCTTGCTGTCTGCCTCCCAAGCCAGCCAAGTCCAGGAGCCCCTGACAGCAGGAGCCAGGGCTGCCACCTTCTTGCATCCTCAGAGCTCCGTGGAGAGTCAAGGTGATTACCACACGCTGGAGAACAGAGCAGATGCCTGCTCTGAGGCTGAGACAGGGGCTGCCAGGGGTCCAAGGCCACAAGGAGGTGAGACCAGCAGGGTCCTGCCTGCTCCCCAAGGCTGTCCCCATACCCACTTCGGGATGCTCCTGTCAGGTTTGGTGGTCTTTTGGCAGTGTCTGAGGTCCCTGCCTGCCTAGTACATGGATCTTGTCTGGGTATGACTGATAACTTATCCAGAGCCATACTCTTAAGCTCTAGAATGTTCTGGGGGCTTTCAGATCCCTTTGGGATGGTAACCAGTGAGAACTGCGATACTGTCCCCATACCAACTCCGCATCTTATTTTGTGGTCACAGGACAAAGGAGGGGCAGGGGCTTCAGAAACCTGGGCCAGAATCAGAGCACCTGCCATGGTATGAACCCACCACCCCAGCTGAGTGGCTTACCTTGGTCAGGCACTCATGTGACCTGACCATTGCTTGCCCACCTATGCCAGATTCGGATGCTGAGGGTAGGGGCAGAGTTGCTGGCTTTCCTGTGCTGAGAGACCCTTGGCGACCTTCCTGCTTGGAGGAAAGGACGGGCCCCCCACCCACACCTCCCCAGTTACTCTTAGGAGCCCTAACAAGCAGCACTTGGCTGCCCCCGGCCCTCTCTATGGCTTTAGGGAGTCATTTGCTGCTCCCAGCTGATGAGCCCTTGGGCTCGGCTGGGCCACCCACGTGGCAGCCTCACATCATGCCACACTGACCTCCAGCTCACCTCCGAGGGTGCCCAGCCCCCTCCGGTCAGCCGGACTCCCTGGCAGGACATTAACAAGCTCAGCCAAGGCCTCTAACTGAGGGGTCTTCCTCTTGCTCTCCAAGCCCCCTCTCCAGACCTGATGCCCACTCCCTCTGGCCCTGGCTTCCTGCCACTGCGGCTGGAGGGGGTGGGGAGGGTAGTGACAGCTGTGTAAGCGATGGCGGCAGCTCCCTTCCTGCCCCTCCCCCCCAGCTGTCCTCTCTCCCATGACAGCTGCCCAATCAAAGGGCTGGGGGCTTAGCCAGCTCCCCCCCCACTCCAACGCAGGGATCAAGTGTCCACCATGGCTTTGTTCTGCAGCAAGAACAATCCCCGGGAGGGGAGGGCTCCTGAGGCTGGCAACTCAAGTAGACCAGCCTGTTCACCCCTTTCCTGGGGAGGGGTAGGGATGGGGGGATTCCCTCCTGGGTTTCTCTCTGGCCAGTATCTGGGCCAGCCAAGGCTGCGGACAGGGGTCCCTTCTCCAGCTCCAACCCACCTCCCCACATCGCCCTCTGCACCTACAGTTTCCAATCTAGCAGTCTCCTCCTCCCATTCCCACTCTCAGCGCAGTGGCACTGGCCACACCCAGTGATGCTGGGCATGACTCCGGGCATCAGACGGGCAGGGTGTGGCGCTGGGGCTGGAGGCATGGCGGCGAGTGTGAAGGCTTGGGCTCTCCATGCCTACCCACCCCCCATTCCCTGGGGATGCTCCGCTGCCCTTTCCTGTTAGGCCTCCAGAACCAGGCCCAGCACCCTTGGACCTGCGTGCCCAGTCTCGCAGTGCCACGGCAGGAGGGGGAGAAGGGGCCTCTTAGGGAGCAGCCAGGGGCCGCCAGCTCTGGCCTCTGTCTGTCTCCTGGACAAAGCGCCAAGCAGGGAAGAAATGGGACCAGGGACGCCATGTTGTCCTCAGCGCCTCACTAGGCAACACCCTACAAGTCTACATGCCTACAGGAAACCAAGGCAGACCCAGGTCCAGGCCCCATGGAGCAGCTTTGCTCACAGATATCCATCCCCTCCCATTTCAGCTGAGCTGAACTTCCATCCTCCATGCTAAAGGTTACACCACGCTGTCTACTGCGCAACAACCATCCATGCCTCCCCAGCACCCAAGGAATAAAGTCCTACTTCCCCTACCAGCCCATCCAGGTCTCTGCGGCCCCTGCCGACTTATCTCATCTCCACCCCATCTCCCATACCTGCCAGGCTACAGAACACACCTAGAACATCCACGTCTCTGCCCAGTCTGATCCCAGCCTGAAACATTCATCCTCTTGCTCCCAAAAATCCTTCTCAAGTGCCACCTCCTTTGTGGGGCCTTCCCCAACCTTCCCAGGGATAGGCAATCACTCCAGCCCCTGGGCCCCTCCAAGAGATGGCAGCCTCTCCCAGGAGTCCCATTTCCAAGCCTGGGAGAGCTCTGACCAGACGGGAAACTTAAGACAGGAGTAGGCTGAATGCACAGGGAGAACTGGGGCTCGCGCTGTCTGGGGACATCAATGCCCCAAGGTTGGGCATCCTGGAGGAATGGTAAGGGACAAGCCACTCGGCAGGGCTGACACCTGCCATACACGGGTTTCCCAGAGCCTACCCCTGCTCTCCTGGGTATCTCGGGCTCCCAGGGCATGATGCTGGCACAAGGGATTTGGCTTGTATGCCCAATCTTGCAGGGTAGTCTCTCCCCATGGAGAAGGGGCAGCAGAAGAGCTAGAAAGTGGGACAGGCATCACGGGGTAGAGGTGGCCTCGGCCCGTCACAGCTAGAGGAAGGGAACTGTGTTGCAAAGGCAAGGTGAGAAGTGGCCAGAGGACTGAGGAACCCCAGGACCCCACCTTTGCAGCTGGAAGCTGTCTCCTCCGAGGTCAGCAGAGTGGGGCAGTGGTGATGCAGGCTGGATTTTGGGGGTGGGGGGAGGTATGGGAGGAAACGGTGATGGGAGTGGGGAGAGTGGACAGGGCCTGTCTGGGGACATAGGGTGGGGCAAGCCAGCCTCCCAGTGGCCTGGGCCTGCCAGGGTGTGTGGGCCGCCTGCTCCCAGCCCCCCACCCAGAGCATGCGAGGAGAACAATCCCCTTGTGTTTAGGCAGCCTGAGCCTGCATGCTGATGAAGTCTAGGGCTGGGGGCTGGGATGGGGGGCACCTTGGAGGTTGAGAAGGTTCCAGGACCTGGAAGGGTAGGGGATCTTCAGATGGGGACAGAAGAGCCTGCCAGGTGTCAGCCCCAAGGTGACGGGAGACCCGGGGGAGCAGTGAGGGTCCCACTGGGCTCCCGGGGAATGTCTGGGGGTGTAAAGGCTCTTTGTAGGGGAAGAAGGGCCCTTGGGAGTAGGGGGAGAGAAGGGCATACACATCCTGTTGAGCCAGCATGAAAGTGATCTTCCAGGTCCTGGTGGGAACCCAGGACCCCACCTTCTGGGAGAAAGGGATGCTGCTGGAATTGCCGCAACCCCTAGCGGGTTAGCCCCCTCGGGTGCTGGACCCGGGTGGGGCACTGGGTGCCACAGGTCTCAAGATGGCGGGCCTGGGACAGGAGAGTGAGGAGGCAGGCGCCTCCCTCTCCTGGCCAGGCTGAAGTGAGCACACAGCCCCCCATTCTCACTACCCCCACAAGGTAAGGAGTCAGGTCACAGGGGAAAGGTTGAAGAACCACAGGGGAAAAGGGAGTGGAGGAAGGAAGGACCCCTGTGAACCCCCAACTCCCATCTGCCTGCAGCCCTGGCCTGGAGGTTTGTGTCTGGCTGCTCCCAGGACTGCAGAGAACAGGAAAGGTTGTGCACTGGACCAGGAGCAGCAGGGGACCGGCAGATGGAGGTGGACCAGAAATATAACCCGAACCCAGGGCCCTAGGTGGAGAAAAGAGCAGGCCCAAGGGAGAGAAACAGCAGGTGGGATGGCAGCTCCAACCTGAGATCCAAGGCCAGGAGAGTGCTCCCCTGCTGCTAGGTGCTCCTCTAGCAGCCGGGCGTCCCCCACCTGTGCAAAGTCTCAGTCTTACCCAATAAGGGACCTTGCTCTTCGAAGTCTCCCAGTAGCCCCAACCCGGGACCCCAGCCCCAAGGACCTGAGCATGCCTCCCTGCTTCCCCCTCCCCCCGCCGAACCCCCAAACTTCGCGGCCTTCCGAGTCCCGCCCAGCCCCGCGCCCTACCTCGCTGGGGCTGTCCTGCGGCGGCGGCGGCGCGGCGGCTGGGCCGCTCAGTCCCACATTGTCCCCGGGAAAGGCGGCCGCTCACAACTGCGAGTGACATCAGCTGCGAACAATGAGGGGTTTGACAGGCGCGGAGCCCGGCCGGCCCGGAGCCCGGCTCCGCGCCCCCCCTCCCCATCCCCGGCCCGCCCGGCCCGGCCCCTCCCCGCCCGGCCCGGCCCCTCCCCGCCCCCTCTCCGGATCCGATTACAGCGCGACGGGCCCGCCCCAGCCGCCCCAGTGCCGCAGCCGCCCGCCCCGCCCCGCGCGCCGCGGTGCGCCCGGAGCGGCCGCGCCGCGGGCAAGGCTCCCGGAGCCCAGCCATAAGCAGCGGCGCCGAACCCCCAGCCCCCGGCATCCCTGCTCCGGCCAGTCCTTCCGGCCCGGGCCGCCTAGCCGGCCGAGTGCCCTCCGCCTCGGCTCCCTTGGAGCTCGGACTTCCACCTCCGCCCCGCCCTGATCGCTGCTCTCGTCTGTCCTGGCGCTGGCCCGCGCTCGGGGACCTCGGCCGGGACACCAGTGGTCCTCCGCCTCCCAAGCTTCCGCGCGGCGCGGCGCGACGCGGCCCGACGCGGCCCGGCCCCGGTGCGCGCAGGACAGGACAGGTTACCCAGCCAGCTGGAGGAGGGGCCTGAGAGCCAGGTGGCCCTCGTGCACCCCGCGGCGCGATACCCCCAGGCCTACCCCCAGTATTCCTTTTGGGGCTTGGATCATAAAGAATGGGGGCGCAGCAGCGGAGTCCTTGGTGCGGGAAGTGATGAGTGGGGGAAGGGCTGAGCAGTTCTCAAGTCCCACGCCCCTCCCCCCCTCCGCCCACCAAATACTCCTCCCCCTCTCCTCGGTAATCGGCTCAGCCCGGACCCACTGACCTCCACCTCCCCCACAACTGAGGCTCTTGGCACCTGGGTACGTGTGGGTGGGGAGGGGAATCCAATCTCCCTTCCCCTCCATCTGGCCTGGTGGACAAAGGGCGGGGGGGGTGCACCATCTGGTCCTGCCAGCGTGGGGGAGGGGCCGGCTGTGGCGGTCCCCAGGGGCGGGGGAGGGGCGGCGCTCTGAAGACAGCAAGAGCCTGTGGGGGTCTAATTGCATCACTTTATTTCCATCCCCAAACCCCAGAGCAAGGCAGAAGCCAGGCTGAGAAGACCCAGGCCTCCTAGCCCCTCTCTAAGGGAAGGGGGTGGATGGCAGGAAACCAGAGAGAAATCAGGGGGACTTGGGATGCAGAGAGATGCCCGTCCATCTCTGGGGCAGGCAGTAGAGAGGGGACCAGTCATCCCCAAGGCACAGCAGTGCAAAGGGGCCCCATGGCACCCCATGGTCTCAGACAGGTGCTGCAGCTTTAGATGCACATTCCCACCTTGGGCTAGTGTCTGTGTGGAGGCACAGGTATGCCTGTGTGTGCAGGTGCATGCATTTGCAGGGTTATAGCTGTCTGTGAGGATGTGCAAGTGGATCCAGTTTCATGGACCTACGCAGCTGCTGCCATGAAGGATCGTCATACCTGTACCTGGGGCTGCAAGTGTTCTAAGTATGTGTCCGTGCATGTGGGCTTCCATGCAGGAAACTGGGGGTAGGCAAGAGCTGGTTTAGGGGTGTGACTGGCCTGCTGGGCAGCTGGAGGAGCAGAAACAGGGAGGCTTGGCAGAGCAGAGGAAGGTGTGCAAGCCCAGAGCAGAAGCCTCTAGGAGAAGCTTGGGTTTACCCTCCAGGGGCCTATGCCCCTTAGTTCCTGTGTTTTGCTCTTGATTTACCTTCCCAGGCTGTCACTGCAAAAGAAAGAAGCAGAGAAGACCACACAGACTCCAAAAGACACAAACCCAGAGAAACAGATAGACTGACCTGCAGAGTGGGCATGTGCAACCAGAGCCCAGTGAGCCGTGTGAGAGAGAAGAGAGAGGTCCCGGGAAGGCAGCCTACAGGTGCCAGAGGGTAGAGCCTATGCCAGCCCCTGCAGGAAGTGCAGCAGCCCTGTATGCCACTCCTCGGGTTTGTCCAGGTAACAGGGGTGCCCCGCCCCCTCCAGGACCAGCACTTGGTGGTTGGGCAGCTGCTTCAGGTGCTCAAAGCTGCTGTGACCCATGGGGTCCTGGTCTCCATAGACAATCAGGGCCGGAATCTGAGAGAAACAAGAGGGAGGGTAGAGTCAACAGGGCCTCCCAGAAGTCAGCACCCCCAGGGCTACCCCAAGAGAGGGGAAAGAGAAGCTGGTCCAATCGGTGGTGGTGGCATGACATGTGTTCACCGCGGGCAGCAGTTCGGCAATAATCCAGCAAGTCAACCCACAAGATGGAGCTAAGTGGCCAGCTGTTCCCAGCCACCCCTCCCACAAGTTCCCCAGCTCCCAGGCCCCAGCAAGATCTCTTTTTTGCTCCCAAAGGGGGCATCTCGTCTTCACCACCCACTGCCCAAGACTACCTTCACACTGGCGTAGTTGGTGGCACTGATTTTGTCGGTGCAGATGGGGGCCACGGGCACATAGCCCCGGAGCTGCGAGCCGGGGGCCGTGAGGAAGGGCAGGGAGTACATGCCACTCATGGAGGGACTGATCACCACAGGGGGGCCCAGCTCCAAGGCCGCCACCACAGCTTCTAGGAAGCTGCCAGGTACCAGCTCCCCAAGAGGGGCAGGGGCTGCCGCATCCTTGGAGCGCCCCAGGCCTGGGAGACAGAAGGTGACAACGGTGAGTGGGAAACCAAGGGAAGCATCCCAGGGCAGTCTCTCAGGGCCCAGTGTGCTGCAGACTTATTCCTGCAGCAGCCCAGGTGGGTTCCAACAGTGGTGAGCCTGACAAGCATGCCCATCAACCCAGGGGCCAAGGGTGTCCAGGAAAGCTGGTGTTTAAGTTCTAGTGATGCCGTTCCTGGCTTTGGGACCCTGGCAAGACTCCCCACCCCGGGCTTCTCTTAGTTTCTCACTTTCCCCATCTGTCAAACTGAGTTGACAAAAGTTATGTGCCACCCAGAGAGCTGAGATTCAAAGGCACTTGGCAGGGGCATGGACAGGGGTAGTCACTGGCTAATCAGTTGACTCATCCTCCCCCTGCAAATGCTGGGATCCTATATAAGCATCAGTTTCATGTACTGGCTGCTCCGCTTCCCATCCAGCTTCCTTGTGGCCTGGTACAGTAGCAGAGGATGGCCCAAAGCCCTGGAACCCTGTACCCTATGGGAGACTTGGAAGAAGCTCCTGGCTTCTCAGCTCTGGCTTTTGTGACCATTTGAGGAGTGAGCCAGCTGTTAGATCTTTTTGTCTTTCCTCTCCATAAATCTAATCTGCCTTTCCAAAAAAAAAAAAAAAAAAACACACTTGGTCCTGACCTGGTCCTGGATGGGTTCTTTGAGGACAAAAGCCTAAGGGCAGGTCCCGCACCTTCATCTGCTTTCCTGGTTGCTGCCCACCTCTGACAACAAGCAGCTCAAGACCTTCGCCCCGAAGCTCAGCCCAACCCACTGTGGGAACCAATCCTGCCCTGGCTGGAAGAGGTCTTGGAACCAAACCAGCCTTAGCCCGGAAGGGAACTACAGTGGCCCTGCTGCCTTTTCCCACCTGGCACCAAGGGTTGGGGCCTGGTAGCCACAGGGCTGCTCCCATCTTCCCCAGGGACCAGCTTAAGACTCTGCATGCCAAATCAGGGCTGGCCTAACACCAGGCAGCACCCTGCCCCCACTACACCCTTAGGGCCTCCATCAGTCTATGATTGTGCCTCTCAAAATATTTGTCTTGCAGTGAGCTAAACTGCCAGTTGTAATGCCAGCATCCATTTCAGCATACCAGTTGGGAGTCCCAGTGACTCTCCTTCCAATCCAGCTGTTAATGGCCTTGGAAGGCAGCAGAGGATGGCTCCCATACTTGGGTCCCTGCCACCCATGGGAGAGACCCAGATGGAGTTCCAGTTTCCTTGCCTAGTCAACTGCTGTAGCCATTTGGGTAGTGAACCAGTAGATGGAAAATCTCCATCCCCCCCACACACACATTCTGTCTTTCAAATAAGATCTTTTTTAAAAATTTGTTTTATTTTTACTTGAAAGGCAGATCATTTTTATGGAGAGAAGGAAAGACAGAGAAAAATCTTCATCCACTGATTCACTCCCCAAGTGGACACAATGGCTAGAGCTGAGCTGATCTAAAGACAGGAACCAGGAGCTTCTTCCAGGTCTCCCATGCAGATGCAGGGTCCAAGGCTTCGGGTCACCCTCTGTTGCTTTTCCAGGACAAAGGCAGGCAGCAGGATGGGCAGTAGAGCAGCCAGGACACAAACTGGGACCCATATGGGATCCTGGCAAGTTGAGATTTAGCCACTGAGCCAGGCCAAAATAAAATTAATGAACAAAAAACAATTTCTAATCACTTAAGCATCACCTACTAAGTGTCAGATACTAGTAATACCCTAAGGTGGGTGACTTAGTCACCCCTAAACATGAGCATAGTTAGCTCCCATTGCAGGTACTGAAATCAGCTACTCAGGCTGAGGACTGCCCCAGAGCCCAGCTGGGGCACCAGGACAGCATCTGAGCCACCCTAGTGGAGACTGGAGACACTCAACACCCCTTGCAGCACATGCATCCAGCTCAAGGGCCAGCCTAGCGGGGTCCTCACAGTCCCACCATCTGCATCCAATGAGCTCCTTCCCCCCAGCCACAACCCTCACCCCAAATCAAGTACCTGGAAGGTCAATGGCCACTGCCCTGTAGCCAGCCTGGGCCAGCCTGTGTAGCGTGCCCAGATTCTGCCAGGTCTCAGAGGAGAAGCGAATGCCGTGCAACAGCAGCACAGAGAAGCGAGGGGCCTGTCCACCACCTGGCCAGGCCTCCCGGAAGAAGAGGCTCTGGCCCTGCACCTGCACGGTGCCTTCCCGCTCTTCAGCGCTCGCCATGCCAGAGGTGCACCTGTGTGGGTCAAAGCCAAGCTGATGAGGTCCCACAGGACACAGCCTGTCCAGGAGGCATGCAGGAAGCTTCCAGAACTCTAAAAAAAACATGCTTTCAGGTCAAAAGGATAGCATGGGTGTTCACATCTTATCTCTACTGTTCACTTAACTGCCTCAGCCTCTACTTCCTCAAATCTCACATCTGAGGACAATAAAACCGACCTCAAGAATTAAGAGCTCAAGGGAGAAAAATACCCGGTGAGGATGCTTGCCAGGGGAAGGACTCAATACCTGGGTCTCCCATTACAATTGCTAAGCACCTGTTGTCACCCTTTCCCACAAATGGGGCTAAATCAACAGGTTGCTGGGATTAAATGAGGCTACGCATGAAAAACACGGGGGAGGGGGGTTGCACACAGTTAACACCCAATCAGTGGGACACACTCTACCTGCTACACTTACCAACCTCAGCTTCCCCAAGGCACTGCTCTACAGGTCACGTGTTGGCACTGCAGGCCGGGAGAGCGGTGATGGGAATCCTGAGTGGGATTTCCGGAGGTGGAAACCACAGCCATCAGAGGGGAGGACTTTGGGAGTTAGACCCACAAGGGACGCAGGGTGATCGGCATGCTGACTGTCCTGTCCGCTGGGAGCTCAATGCGCAGGCAGCGTGATGGCCAAGGGAGCATACCCCGGCGCCGCTAAGGCTCCCCGCGTCCCCTAGGCAGACCACCACCACTACCGCTGGGAAAGGCTCTGGAGGTCTGGAAGGGCACACAGCACGAGTAAAGGATGCGGGCAGCCCCGAGGGAGGAGGTCTGTAGGGCGGGGATGAGAAGATCTGGGGGGCAAGTGGGAGTGGATTCTGGGTGGAGAGAAGAAAAAAGAGAGGGTCGTGCGTGCAAGGCGGGTACCTGGGGAGCTGCGTGGCGTCGTGCAGTCTGGAGGAAGGAGTGCTGGCCGTTGGCTGGGGCCCCTGGAGAGAAGCCTGGAAGAGTCATGCCCACTTGGGGGCGGAGGCAGGGGCCGAGCCAGGCTCCGGGGTGCCCTCCTGTGGCCAAAAACTGCTGCAGAGTGTCCCTCCGCGCTCCTCTCCTGGTGCTCTAAGCGACCTCCTGTGCCTCAAGCACCAAGTTCAGCGAGATCGGAAACTCTCCGCGACCCACCTACGAGTGGGCATGGTGAGGCATAAGGAGAATGGATGTTTTAGGAGCTGAGTCCCCGACCCACACCCTGCCAATGTCCAGTCAGGTTGCCCTTGGTCGTTTTCCCTATTTCCTCGCCTGCAGATCGCGTCTGATGCTGCCGACCTCTGCAGGACACCAACAAAGGACGAACCCTGCACGATCCATCCGGCTTCCCTGTGCCGGGCTCGGCAGCCACACGAAGCCCTGAGTCAGGTCTCAGGTCCCGCATCGCCAACCATGATAGGGTCACGAGGCCAGCCCAGACACTGCGCACGCACCGCGCGTGTGTAGAGGGGTCAGAGAAACGGTTGGGGCTGTTTTTACACAAGGAGCTTTCTGCACCGGCCCCTTAAGTCCTAATGACACTTGCTTTGCAGGACTGGGTGTGCAGGTCTCATCCTCGCCCCACAGACAAACGAGAGAGCTGAGCGGGGGTGAAATTTCCAGGCCCCAGTAGCTTTCCGTCCGCTCCCTGGCCCAAAACACTTCAGACGGAGGGGCGGGCCTGGGTGCCTGGGGTGCCGCCCCCGGTCGGCACTGAACAGGGACAGCCTGGAAACACGGCGCCGCGGTCTGCGCAGGCGCGCCTCCGTGGCCGCTCGGCTGGCCGTCGGGTCACCGCTCATCCCGCACAGTGGCGGGCGCAGCGAGTGCCATGGCGCGCACTCTATTCAGCAACTGGTTCCGCCTGGGCCGAGCCCATCCAGCGGCGGCCAGCTCGCTCCGCCCGGTGAGTGTACCCCACCCCGGTGGAGGATAAACCTGCAGACTGCCCGAGGGCGGGCCACCCTTGCTCCACCCCTTCCCCCCTGCGGTCAGAGTGAGTCCAGCGGAAGGGGCTGGCGTTGCGGGGCGAGTGTGTGTGTGTGTGTGTGTGTTTGTGTGTGTGTGTGTGTTTGTGTGTGTGTGTGTGTGATGTGAGTGCGCATGCGTGAGAGTCTGAGCGTGCACCTGGGCGTATGTGTTTCTGCACACTTACCTGGGAGGTGTCAGTGTAGGTCTACTGTGCGTATTTGCGTGCGCACGACTTTGAGGGTGGAGTGTATATGTGTCTACCCTTGCCTGTGTGTGCCTGAAGAGTTGTGCGTGACTGCTTGAATTATTTCTGAGGGTCTGCATGTGGTTTTTAAAGCCTGTGTCTTCCTGATGCCTGACTGCATGCATGATTTCAAGACTGTTGTTCCAAGGAATAGTTTGTTTACCAGCTAATGGGAGTACGCACAGGGAATAGCCTAGGCAAAAGCAAAGCTTGTAGGGCCAAAAGTCAGTGTCTTTGAGCATGTGGGCACACCTGTGTGTCACTGTCCACGCGTACTCCAGGGACTTCTTGCAGGGGATAGTTCACTCCCCACCCCACTTGTATGGATAGAGTGGACCCTGGCATGAGCTAAAGGTCCCTATAGTTGGCCAGGATGTCCACACCCTGGGTGTCCACATGACAACCAAAGCCCAGCAGCTCCCTCTGGGAGAAGGCTGGGGTCTACCCTGCCACCTCCCCAAAGACTACAAAGAGAGGTGAAGCACCAAAGCGCTACTCGGTGGGAATCTGGGCATGCTTCCTGCCCCCTGGGGCTGTGAGCAGTCAGGAACCAGAAAGGAGGGCTCTCTTCCTCTCCCTGGCTCCTGCTGTTCCATCAGCACCCAAGGGTGCTGCCAGTACCCACACACTGCCTGTCCTCAGAGCCTGGGGCTGAGGGCTTCAGGAAACAGGAAGGATGGATTCCAGCTGCTGAGTGTATGTTCAGCTGGCTCGGCATAAATAAAAGTTGACAGGAATCCTAGAACAAGACAGCAGTGTGCAGGTCCAGGAAATGACAAGGCTGGCCCTGGATGGAGAGCATTGTGTTATTTCCATATATCACAAAAAGCCTGGGAGGGCAGTGTGAGGTTTCCCATTCTACTGTCAAACTGAAGGCACACCACCTTCAGGATGGGTCTTAAAGCCAGGGCTCACTGCCCTTTTTGAGGCTTTTTTTAAAAAGCTTTATTTGAAAGGAAGAGTTGCAGGGAGAGGGAGAGAAAGAGTGGAGAAGAGCTCTTTCATCTGTTAGTTCACATTCCAAGTGGGTGCAGTAGCCAGAGCTGCGCCAGGCTGAACCCAGCAACCAAGAGCTTCACCTGGGGTGCAAGGAACCAAACACGTGAACCGTCTTCCACTGCTTTCCTAGGCCATTAGCAGGGAGCTAGATCAGAAGTGGAGCAGCCAGGACTTGAACTGGTGCCCATATGGGATACAGGCATCTCAGGCAGTAGCTTAAGTCACTCTGCCAAAACACTACCCCCTAGGTCCTGGGTCTTGCAATCTGCCCTTTGGTCTGGCAAAGGCCTTGAACTGGAACAACTCATGGGACTGAGCTGTGTGCACGTGGGGGGAGTGGTAATCCATGTCTTCCCGCCTGCATGCTGCCCCTCCTGTTTCTACATGTGCCATGCCCTTCACTGGCCTCATTCCACTCATGCCTTAGCATTGTGGGCATTACAAGCATTCCCAGTGGGCTACACCTTTCACCCTTCTCATAAACTATAAAACATGATCGAACTCTCAATCAGACATGCAAGTGTGATAATAGGAAGTCCATCCAAACATGTACCACGTGAGAGGGCCTTGTATGTATGAGTGTATTCCTTGAACAGCCCTCATGACTCTCTCCGCGTGCAAGGCTCCAGCAGTTCATCTGTCCCCTGTCAATACCCACAGTGTCACCAAGTGTGTCCTGGCCCTTAGGAGTCCAGCCATGAGGTCAAATCCCAGTTTCCCTATTGGCAGCACTGCACTTTGGGCAAGAGAGGTTAAGTCCCTGGGCCTCAGTTTCCTCAAAGACCTGTAATCCCCCTGCTCCCAGGTATTCCTGGGGGACCAAGGAACTCTTGCATGCCAAGGATCAAGCACAGGGCTGGAAGTTCCCCTGCACACTGGTGACCATGATCGCTGAGCATGCTCAGACACACGTCCTCATGTGCAGGGCATCTGAGCCTTTGCTTTGGCAGGTGTAAGCATTGGCTGTCAATCCCAGCACATTTGCCTGGAGCAGGGGAAGGATGGGGGCTGGGGTTCTTTCTCAGCTGGGGCCTTCTGGATGGCATGTGGGGATGCAGCCCAGAGGACACTGTATGGGGGCAGCCCCAGTCTATTCGTTCTCCCGTCTTCTTGCAGGCTGTGGCACAGATTTCCATGCACTGGCTTGTGGGAGCCTTGTTGGGCCTGGGGCTGCTGCTCATGCTGCTCCTGTATGGAGGACTGCCAGGCCCCCCTGAGCAGACCTCTTGGTTCTGGAGACAGCCCAATGTCACCATCCTGGCTGCCTTCACCCATGGCAACCCCCCCATCTTCTACCGTGAGGCACGCCCCCTCCATCGAGCACGAAGGTGGGTGTTAACTCTCTGGAGGCCTGGAGGGGACCCTGTGCGTGGAGGGTAGTCCTCACTCAACACAGCATGCTCAGAACCTGGGAGGACAGCGGGAACAGTCTAGGAAAATGGGGGACTACCTGGTAGCCCCCAGGACATACCCTGCCCTGTGTGCCTGCAGGGTGGATGTGGTGCTGCTCCATGGCAAGGCCTTCAAGTCACACACATGGGAGCAGCTGGGCACCCTTCAGTTGCTGTCGCAAAAGGGCTATCGGGCCGTGGCCATCGACCTTCCCGGTGAGCATTCTGCACACTTCTGCCCCTCAACAGCCCAATCTATCCCCTGCTGCCCCAACCCCAACTAAGAGAGGCAAGAGGCAGCAGGTGTAGCAAATGTAGCACCCCAAAAAAGTCTTGAGTTTTAATTTCTGTCTTGGCAATTCCAGTGTGAAATGTATGTCATATAGCAGCGCCAACATGCCTCATTTTGCCAGCAAGCACATGGGAGATTGCTGTGCCTTCAATGACAAACCATGGAGCTTGAGGTTCATTGCATGACAACAATAGTTTGCACTGTCATTCTTGTCAGTAAAACAAGACACAACACAGCCCTGAAGGACCAGCCCCATGTTGCTCTCCCTCTCTGAGGCAACTTTGGGGTGCCAGTCCTTGTCCTGGGCCCTACCACACAGATACACAAAACACACAGAACAAGTGCCGCCATGTACACGTGACTGGTGCCCTGTTGGCAAGTCCATCCACAGCCTGGCTTCCCACCTGCACGCCCTGTTAAGAGCCAGTGCCTGCGACGCTCCTACTGTGTTGTCAGACCTGCAGTGTGTGGCACAGGAGGGATGGATGGGGTGTTATTTGGCCATATCTCTTACTATGACTTCTAGTGTCAGTTGAGATGGTTGACTATTTAAAAGAAAAAAAAAGGGGGGGAATGATGTACACTGTGTTTAGTTACCCTTTTTTGAAGTGCTGACATTCCCATATTGGAGAACTGGTTCAAATCTCAGCTGCTCCATTTCAGATCCATCAGCTCCCTGCTAGTGTCCCTGGGAAAAGAGCAGAAAATGGCCCAAGTACCTATGGGCCCTGCCACCCACATAGGATACCCACATAGAGTTCTTGGCTTCTAACTTAGACCTGCCCAGCTTCAGCCATTGTGGCCATTTGGGGAGTGAACCAGCAGATTGAAAATCTCTCTCTCGGCTTGTCTTTTAATTCTCTTTCTCCCATTCTCTCTCTCTGTCTCACTCTGGTTTTCAGTTCATTTAAAATACAAAAAGAAAGAAAGAGAGAAAGAGAAAGAGAGAGAGAAAGAAAGAAAGAAAAGAAAGAAAGAAAGAAAGAAAGAAAGAAAGAAAGAAAGAAAGAAAGAAAGAAAGAAAGAAAGAAAGAAAGAAAGAAAGACTCAGTAACCTAGCTGCATCTCCGGACATGCATCTTCAAGTATGTGGGTGTTCGAACCTTTTTACCCCAATTAACTATGTAAAGATTGTCAAAAATATAATAAAAAAAGGTTAAAAAAAAGAATGTGGGTGTTTATTTCTCTTGGGTAGTCTACTGAGCTAGTGATGGCTCAAAGACATACATCTTAAGATTTTATATATATATATATATATTTTAACTTGAAAAGTAAAGTGAAGGAAAAACAGAGATCTCCCATCTGCTAGTTCACTCCCCAAATGGCCACATCAGCTGAAGCTGAGCCAATCCACAGCCAGGGGTCTGAAGCTTCTTCTAGGTCTCTCACATGGGTGCTGGGGCCCAAGGACTTCAGCCATCTTCTTCTGCTTTCTCCGGTCATAAGCAGAGAGCTGGAGCAGAAATGGAGCAGCCAAAACTAGAACCAGCACTCATATAGGATACTCACATTACAGGTGGAGGATTAGCCTGTTGAGCCATTGCATTAGCCCCAAGATTTTGCCAAATACTGCCTCACCCTCCAAAAGACCTGTATGGATTTATGCTTCTGTCAAGTTACATGTGAAAATACATCTAGCAAGCCTGTTACAAATATATATATATACACACACATAAACATATATATGGCATCTGGGAAATGGGAGTGGCATGTGACATATCACACTTGTTCTCACCTCTCTCTAAGGTTTGCTTATTTGAAATTCAGTGATAGAGGAAGACAAAAATCCTACAACTGCTAGTTCACATTCCAAATTCCTACAACAGCCAGGGCTAAGCCATGCCAAAACCAGGAACTAGGCGCTCCATCCAGATCTCCCACATGGGATTCAGGGCCCAGGTTCTAGGGCCATCTTCTGCTGCCTTTGAAGGTACATTAGCAGGGAGCTACTGAAAGTAGAATAGCCAGGACTCAGACTAGAGCACTCGCATATGGGATGCCTGCATTGCAGATGGCAGCTTAAATCGCCACACCACCACACTCCTGTTCCCCATCTCATTTCCCCACTACAGTGGGCAGGCAGCCCTGGGTTCCTGCCCAGGCCCCCATCAGCTAGGGCTTACTGTCCTTCTTAGGTTTTGGAAACTCAGCACCTTGGAAGGAGGCCAGCACAGAGGTGGGGCGGGCGGAGCTGCTGGAGCACGTGCTGCGGGACCTGGAGGTGCAGAATGCCGTGTTGGTGAGCCCCTCGCTAAGTGGCCAGTACGCCCTGCCCTTCTTGATGCGGGGCCACCGCCAGCTGCGTGGATTTGTGCCCATCGCACCCACTTCCACACAGAGCTACACCCAGGAGCAGTTCCAGGCTGTGAAGGTACCCCATCTGGAGCTTATGTTGGTGGGAGTGAGGAGAGCTCAAGCCTTCCCTGCCGGGTGGGGGTAAACAAGGCTCAGATCCCTACAGGCTCTAGGTCATGGCCCCTTCACTTGCCCTCAGACCCCAACACTCATCCTCTATGGGGAGCTGGACCACGGCCTGGCTCAACAGTCACTACAGCAGCTGCGCCACCTGCCCAACCACTCCGTGGTGACCTTGCGGGGTGCGGGGCATGCCTGCTACCTCCACAAGCCACAAGACTTCCACCTCGTCCTCCTGGCCTTCCTTGACCGCCTGCCGTGAACTCACCTACTACCCGGGGCCCCCACGTCTGGCCTGAACTTGAAGGGAGCTGGACTACTACCTCCACGTCACCAGGGAAGGAGCCTCCTGGGATTGGAGGACAAAAGCAGAGGACAAGATCCAATCGGGATCTTCAATTCTTATTTCACACGCTCAATTTGTTTTAAGTCTGTTTGCCTATTGTGGGAAGAGACAAGTTCCATTTCCTGGCATGTTTTGGGAGAGGCTAAGATTGCAACATTTCCTAGCTGATGTCCCTACTGTCACATTGTTTTCTCACCTAAATGAAATGCTGAATAATAACGGAGGCTGGGAGGGTGGTTGCAGGCTTGAAAGCATTAGGGAAGCACCTGGGAACACACTTGGTACAGGACTTTGGGCAAGGGTTGGGGGTGGGTGACAGGTGGCTGCTAACATAGGACCCTTGGGATGGGTGGCACAGTATAGACAGCAGGCAGATTAGGAGTACAGATGTTGAAGTGCAGAGGCAGAACAGGGTTGAAGTAATGGCCTGCTAAGGGGCCGGTGTGGCGGTAGCAGGAAGAAGGATGTTATCAGTGATGCCAGCATTCTGTCCGGGTGCCTGAGGGTGTCCTGGCTACTACACTGTTGATCTAATATATTGCTGATCACATGGGGAAGACAGCAGAGGGTGGCCTAAGTGCTTGGCCCACAGCCACCCATTTGGAAGGCCCAGATGAAACTACTGGCTTTCTCTCCCGCTGTACCTATGACATTCACATAAATGAATCTTTTTTTTAAAAAAAAATTAACAGTGTTGTTGATAAACCACCAAGCCTGATCCCCCATTACATGTGGATTAGCAGGACTTAAACCCCAGCAGAGGTGGGATGGGCCCTTCTGGACCCAGAGGTTGAAGTCTCAGCTCCAAGCTCCTCCCCAAGCTGACTCAGCACACTGGAGCAGGGGCCAGAGGCCACCAGGCACCCCAATGGGCAGACACAGCCAGGGATTGCCTGCGGGTGGCCTGCAGGACACCTGTGCCACCTTCTCCCTCCCTCCCCAGGAGTGCAGAAGAGCAAGAGAGGTGGCCATACGGTCAGCCACGAGTGCGTGTTCTCCCGTCTCTCTCGCTCAAGCCTCCTGGGACTGCCCTGGCTCCCGGTTCCACCCACTGGTGGCACACAGCCAGCCTGCCGCCCACACCAAAAGCTTGGCCCTCACCATGGCACACTCCCAACCGGCTCCCACCCCTTTATTTACCCTCCTACTTGGCTCTTGCTCCCTGCCCTGGGCATGCGGGTCGCCCTCCTGGAGCGCACAGTGTGGGGCGGACCGACAGGTCCAGTCGGTCCCACATGAGGCGCTGAACAGTCCAGAGCAGCATAGGCCTGGAAGAGCCTGCAGGAAGAAGACTGCAGGGGTGGGACTGGAAGCCAGGAGCAAGGACAACCGGGCCCTTCCTGCCCACCTCAGGTCCCCTGGATCCCAACCTGCCACTGTGCTCCAGCCACATGGTGGGAGGGCCAGGGCGGGCCTGAGCTTCTGACCTCCTAGGACACTGAAGCTCTGGTCACAGTCCGGGCCCGACACTGGAGCAGTGAACGAAGCTCCAGGCCAGGAGAGCAAGGTCGAAAGTGTCCCCCAGTGGGGAGATTGGGGTGGTTGGATGAGGGAGAAGGCAAAAGGGAAGGTTTATTTATGAAAACTTTCATAGCTGCTCTGATATCTCTGTGAGCCTCACCTTTTTTGATCCATGTAGTGGGCATTCTGGGGCACACAGAAAATTGGAACCCTGGGGTGGGTTCAGGAAGAAAATGTGTTGAGATCTCAACACTGGTCCCTAACATGGTGTGGGAATTCTGGGGAGAAACCAGGTGACCTCTTCCGAGTGGGGGCGCTGTGTGCAGGTGGTGGTCCAGGACAGAGTGGTGTTGCCTACAGATCCCCACGTGCAGCACCATGACCAGCAAGGGTGCAGAGAGCGAGCACCCCTCCGTGACTCTCTTCCGCCAGTACCTGCGCATTCGCACGGTCCATCCCAAACCCGACTATGGTGAGCACAAGGAGCTTGGAGATGGGAGGAGAGCCTAGGGTGGGGGCTCAGGTGGGCGCTGTGCCCACATCACCCAGCTGCACCCAGTTCCAGCTCTCAAGTGGCTCCCCAACTCCTCCAGCCACTCTTGAGGTCTGTAAACTGAGGCAGCACCCAAGGGGCCCAGGATGTGCACCCTGCTCCAAAGGCTACACTGCTCCCAACTTCATTCCTGGCACCCAGTGGAGGTGGAGGTGGAGGTGGAGGGACCCCCAGGAGCCTCCTGGGGCTAAGACCAGGCACTGGCTCCTATGAAATGAAGGGGGACACCCAGGGATTGTGGATGTGGCATCCTGCTCTGGGTTGGCAGCCCAGGGGCTCTGCGTGAGCCCTCTTTTCTGCAGCTCTCCAATGCCATGGCTTCCCCACCTGAAAGGGCCATAGCAACTCTGCACTTTCCCAGGCTTTTGGCAAAGAATCCCTTCTCCCTGGGGGGTGGGGAGGGCAGAAATACAGGTGCCTCTGAGGCAGGGCAGGCAGGCCGGGGAGGTCCACTTCCTCCCAGGGTGAGTGGTGTGGGTGGGTGGGAGCCAGGGGTAGGTGGTCCCAGGACTCTGTGTCCCCAGGGGCTGCCGTGGCCTTCCTGGAGGAGCAGGCACGCCAGCTGGGCCTGGGCTGTCAGAAGGTGGAGGTGAGCCTGGGGCCCACACGTTGGGGGGAGGTGGGCCTGCAGGGTGGGAGGTCACCCCGTGCCGATCCCCCACCCAACCCTTATTACCAGGTGGCACCTGGCTATGTGGTGACTGTGCTGACCTGGTTGGGCACCAACCCAGCCCTCTCATCTATCTTGCTCAACTCCCACACGGATGTGGTACCAGTCTTCGAGGTGTGTATGGCCTGGGGCACAGCACAGGTCTGGGACCCCAGGAAGTGCATGGTGGTGAAGCCAGCACTGCACCCAAGCAGCCCTCATTCGTGCCAGATCAGGCTTGGTTCTGGACGAGGAGGTGGGGGTGGCAATCGGTTGCCTCCTCTGTCCCCTCACCACCCCACCTGTCACTCCAACCAACCTCTCATTGGACACCTCTTCCCATCCCTGCCAAAGGAACACTGGAGTCACGACCCCTTTGAGGCCTTCAAGGACCGTGAGGGCTACATCTATGCCAGGGGCACCCAGGACATGAAGTGTGTCAGCATCCAGTGAGTGTCCTCCACTCTTGTCCCTCACGGTGCCCACCCCAAGCCTAACACATGGACCTCGGGACCTGGGCTGTATGGGGAGACGCTCAAGGCCACAGGATATCTCTTTGCTTTTGCAATTAATTCACTCATCCTGTTTTATTTGAAAGGCAGAGAGATCACCCATCTATATGCTGGTTCATTCCCTATATCACTGCAGCCTCGGCCATACCTGGGGCCGAACCAGGCCAAACTCAGGAGCCAGGAACTCAGTCCAAGTTTTCCCCATAGGATGGCAGAGATCCAAGTCTTCAGCCACAGCCCACTGCCTTGAGGGTGTACATTAGCAGGAAGCTGATTGAAAGCAGAGCTGGGACCAGAACTCTGGCACTCAGATAAGGGATGCAGGGCAACACGTGGTGTCACGTGCTGTGCCAGACGCCCCCATGCAAGGGACTTCTTGACACCATCCCTGGGGCAGGAAGTACTGACATACCCGTTGCCTTGATAGGGAAATTGAGGTCCCAAGAGAGGTCCAGTGTTGATCCAGGACCCAGAGCTGTCACCTCCCTGGCCCTGCTCCAGCAGATGGCTTGTGTCCCCTCAGGTACCTGGAGGCCGTGAGGAGGCTGAAGGCTGAGGGTCACCGCTTCCCCAGGACCATTCACATGACCTTTGTGCCCGGTAAGAAGGCTCTGGCTGGGACAGCACTGGAAAGGGGAACTGTGTTGGGGGCAGCTCTCTCATCTAGTTCCCGTCACGCTTAACAGATGAAGAGATCGGAAGTCAAAAAGGTATGGAGCTGTTTGTGCAGCGGCCTGAGTTCCAGGCCCTGCGGGCTGGCTTTGCCCTGGACGAAGGTAAGCAGACTGCTGGTGCCTCTGAGCTGCCCGGCTGTTGGGGGAGAGTGAGGCCTGGGGCTGTGTGACTGGGCTGGGCCACTGCCTGTTCTGAAGCCCCGCTGCACCCACTACTTCTCAGGCCTGGCGAATCCCACTGATGCCTTCAAAGTCTTTTATGGGGAGAAGTGCCCCTGCTGTGAGTACATATTGAGGGAGGGGTCTAACACTCAAATAAGGTCCGGGAAGGTCTCAAACCCAGGGCCTGTCCTCCCAGTCCCTTCCTAAGTGGATGTCTTCTTCCTGGGCTACTCCAGAGTGGGAGCAAGAAATGGGTTCTACCCTGAAGGCTCAAAGGCCAACAGGGTCCTGCCAGCAGAGCTTGGCATGAGGGGGACAGGCCTGGACACTGGCTGTTCAGAGCTGACAGCCCCTCCCATGCCAAAAACCCCCTCCTCCCCTCACCCTTTCCTCCAACTTGGGCTGCTCTGCAGGGGTGCGGGTCACCAGCACCGGGAGGCCAGGCCACGGCTCACGCTTCATTGAGGACACCGCGGCCGAGAAGCTGGTATGTGACAGCTGCAGAGGGAGCCTGGGAGGGCTGTTCCCTGGACCCCTCAGTGTCTAACTCCATGCTCTCCTAGCACAAGGTTGTAGGCTCCATCCTGGCCTTCCGGGAGAAGGAAAAGCAGAGGTGAGACCGAGACCACCTGGCACGTGGTGGCTCTAGGGGGGCAGTGCAACCGAGGAGGAAGAGGAGGCCAGGCTGCCCTGTGTGACCTGCTGTTCCCCACCCTGCCTCAGGCTGCAGTCCAACCCCCATTTGAAGGAGGGGGCAGTGACCTCCGTGAACCTAACCAAGCTCGAGGGCGGTGTGGCCTTCAACGTGGTCCCTGCCACCATGAGCGCCAGCTTTGACATCCGAGTGGCCCCGGATGTGGACATGAAGGTACAACCTGCACTCTGGTGTGGAGGTTGGAGCCTGGGCCCTGTGCCCACCCCCTACACAGGGTGTTTGGGAGGGAAGCCTAAGTGTTGTCGGCTCATCTCCTCTCCCTCAGGCCTTCGAGCAGCAGCTGCAGGCCTGGTGCCAGGCAGCTGGAGAGGGTGTCACCTTCGAGTTTATTCAGGTATTACCGTGGGCCCTGGGATGGTGGTGTATGGCGGGTGTGTGAGGGGAGAGCCATGCACAGTGCATACCGGGCACCTTAGTCTTCTTCAGCCAGAAGCACTTCTTTGGGCCGTCAGTGTTTTCGAAATCTGCTGTATGTTCCAGGGCCACTGTGCCAAAGAAATGAAGGACTGCGATGCCCTCAGGAACCTTAAAGAGCCCATTCTTGCTTTGCTGTTCCATGGACATAGGTGGCTGGGAGGGCGGTCTCACACTGTGGGTCCTGCTGTGATCGGAGTGTTTGAGCAGGCTGTGGCCCAGCTGGAGCCCCATGGCTAGGATCTGAAGGCAGGCCTGTAGCCAGAGTGGGCATCTGCCTGGGAAAGGGGGTGGGTGTAGATGTGCCCAGGGCCCTGTCCTGATCCTGCTCTCTGTCCTTCCTTCCCCCAGAAGTGGACAGGGGCCCCGGTGACACCCATTGACGACTCAGACCCCTGGTGGGCGGCTTTCAGTGGAGCCTGCAAGGACATGTGAGCCTGTACTCCAGCTCCCAACCCCACCCCTTCTTCTCCCACTTCCCTTTACACCTCCAGGTCTCCCCTTGCCCACTTTCTGTCCCCTCTTCCATGATATTCCCTGAAACCCTAGGAACCTAACTTTGGAGCCAGAAATCCTCCCAGGATTCACTGACAACCGCCACATCCGAGCAGTGAGTCCCTCCGGATGTGGTTCCTGGGTGGCAGCAGCAGCGGGCTGGCCCTCCTGACACTCTGCTTCACCCCTGTAGGCAGGCATCCCGGCTCTGGGCTTCTCTCCCATGAACCACACCCCGGTGCTGCTACACGACCATGATGAGCGGCTGCACGAGGCAGTGTTCCTCCGTGGGATTGACATATACGCACACCTGCTGCCTGCCCTGGCCAGTGTGCCTGCCCTGCCTAGTGACGGCTGAGCCCCCAACTCCCCAACTCCTGTCCAAGACCTTCCTCTTCCCATGCCCACTAATAAAGTGTGTGTGGATGGGGCTGCCTCAAAAGGACAGGGTGTACTCGGGGTGAGATTTCCTTCTCTGGGAACACGCTACCACCGGCCCCACTGACCATGAGGAACCTGGGCCCTGCTTTTAGGATCGACATGTTCATCTGTCCGGGTCTTAGAGCCATAGTGCTTCTTGCAGCCACCACATGCATTCCTGCAAAGGTGTTTCCCAGAGACCTCAGGGAAGTAGTCTGGGGTACCAGCCTGAGGAGCCCAGACAGGACCAGACAGAGGGCAAGAAGCACAGCTTGGGAGGTTGATCTGCCTTGTAATGGTTTTGGTCCCAAGCCATGGATTCTGAAGTTGGGAATAGGGCCTTAGTAGAATCAGTTTCATTAAGGGTCCCCCACACACCAGCCTGGGTTCAGGGGTCCATATGCAAAGGCTCAGTGATCTTCTGAGGCTGGCTGGGGCTTTGCGTCCTCAGGCTGGGACCAGAATCTCCACATTTTGGCAGGGCACGAATGCCCAGGCCTTGCTCTTGAAATGAGCCAACTTGGAGCCATCTGCTTAGCCCACACCACTGTGAGGACACAAAATCTACTCCTGCCACACTTCCAGGCACTCAGAGCCACGTCGTCAGGAGTTAGCAACACAGCACGATGGACAGACCCACATAGAAGCTCAGGGAAGCTCCAGGTTCATGCCTTCACACTTGGCTGGTGTGGTCACTCAGAGTGAACGTAGCCAAGCAGAACACACCTCTCCTCCCTTACTGGTTTCCTTTTCTGTCTTTGTAACTATGACATTCACATAAATAAGGTTGATTTTTTTTTTAATTAACACCTTTGTTGATAAACCACCAAGCCTGATCCCCCATTACATGTGGATTAGCAGGACTTAAACCCCAGCAGAGGTGAGATGGGCCCTTCTGGACCCAGAGGTTGAAGTCTCAGCTCCAAGCTCCTCCCCAAGCTGACTCAGCACACTGGAGCAGAGGGCCAGAGGCCACCAGGTACCCCAATGGGCAGACACAGCCAGGGATTGCCTGCGGGTGGCCTGCAGGACACCTGTGCCACCTTCTCCCTCCCTCCCCAGGAGTGCAGAAGAGCAAGAGAGGTGGCCATACGGTCAGCCACGAGTGCGTGTTCTCCCGTCTCTCTCGCTCAAGCCTCCTGGGACTGCCCTGGCTCCCGGTTCCACCCACTGGTGGCACACAGCCAGCCTGCTGCCCACACCAAAAGCTTGGCCCTCACCATGGCACGCTCCCAACCGGCTCCCACCCCTTTATTTACCCTCCTACTTGGCTCTTGCTCCCTGCCCTGGGCATGCGGGTAGCCCTCCTGGAGCGCACAGTGTGGGGCGGACCGACGGGTCCAGTCAGTCCCACATGAGGCACTGGAACAGTCCAGAGCAGCAGAGGCCTGGAACAGGCTGCAGGCGGGAGACTGGAGGGGCGGGACGTGCCCGCAGGGGCGGGGCCATCACACCGCTCGCTCCGCCCCTCGTGGGCGGGGCTGGCCGCGCAAAGCAGCTGCCCGGGAGGGGAGGGATTCCGAGGCCGGCCCAGGCCCGGAGCGACACCGACGGGTCCTTCCTGCCCGCCTCGGGTCCCGGATCCCGCCCCGCGAACGCGCTCCAGCCACGTGGTGGGAGGGCCGGGGCGGGCCTGAGGTTCTGACCTCGCAGACGCTGAAGTCTTGGTCACAGTCCGGGAGAAGTGAACGAAGCTCCAGGCCAGGAGAGCAAGGTCGGGTTGTGGGACGAGAAGAAGGGCGTCAGGAGTTCCCAGGCATGGAAGCTGAGCAACTGGGAGAGGGCGGGGGCCGTGGGAGTAGGTGTGTGTTAATTCAGAGCTTTAAAGCTGCTCTGATATCTCTGTGAGCCTCACCTTTTTTGATCCATGTAGTGGGCATTCTGGGGCACACAGAAAATTGGAACCCTGGGGTGGGTTCAGGAAGAAACTGTTGAGAGCTCAACACTGGTCCCTAACATGGTGTGGGAATTCTGGGGAGAAACCAGGTGACCTCTTCCGAGTGGGGGCGCTGTGTGCAGGTGGTGGTCCAGGACAGAGTGGTGTTGCCTACAGATCCCCACGTGCAGCACCATGACCAGCAAGGGTGCAGAGAGCGAGCACCCCTCCGTGACTCTCTTCCGCCAGTACCTGCGCATTCGCACGGTCCATCCCAAACCCGACTATGGTGAGCACAAGGAGCTTGGAGGTGGGAGGAGGGCCTAGGGTGGGGGCTCAGGTGGGCGCTGTGCCCACATCACCCAGCTGCACCCAGTTCCAGCTCTCAAGTGGCTCCCCAACTCCTCCAGCCACTCTTGAGGTCTGTAAACTGAGGCAGCACCCAAGGGGCCCAGGATGTGCACCCTGCTCCAAAGGCTACACTGCTCCCAACTTCATTCCTGGCACCCAGTGGAGGTGGAGGTGGAGGGACCCCCAGGAGCCTCCTGGGGCTAAGACCAGGCACTGGCTCCTATGAAATGAAGGGGGACACCCAGGGATTGTGGATGTGGCATCCTGCTCTGGGTTGGCAGCCCAGGGGTTCTGCGTGAGCCCTCTTTTCTGCAGCTCTCCAATGCCATGGCTTCCCCACCTGAAAGGGCCATAGCAACTCTGCACTTTCCCAGGCTTTTGGCAAAGAGTCCCTTCTCCCTGGGGGGTGGAGGAGGGCAGAAATACAGGTGCCTCTGAGGCAGGGCGGGGAGGGCCGGGGAGGTCCACTTCCTCCCAGGGTGAGTGGTGTGGGTGGGTGGGAGCCAGGGGTAGGTGGTCCCAGGACTCTGTGTCCCCAGGGGCTGCCGTGGCCTTCCTGGAGGAGCAGGCACGCCAGCTGGGCCTGGGCTGTCAGAAGGTGGAGGTGAGCCTGGGGCCCACACGTTGGGGGGAGGTGGGCCTGCAGGGTGGGAGGTCACCCCGTGCCGATCCCCCACCCAACCCTTATTACCAGGTGGCACCTGGCTATGTGGTGACTGTGCTGACCTGGTTGGGCACCAACCCAGCCCTCTCATCTATCTTGCTCAACTCCCACACGGATGTGGTGCCAGTCTTCGAGGTGTGTATGGCCTGGGGCACAGCACAGGTCTGGGACCCCAGGAAGTGCATGGTGGTGAAGCCAGCACTGCACCCAAGCAGCCCTCATTCATGCCAGATCAGGCTTGGTTCTGGACGAGGAGGTGGGGGTGGCAATCGGTTGCCTCCTCTGTCCCCTCACCACCCCACCTGTCACTCCAACCAACCTCTCATTGGACACCTCTTCCCATCCCTGCCAAAGGAACACTGGAGTCACGACCCCTTTGAGGCCTTCAAGGACCGTGAGGGCTACATCTATGCCAGGGGCACCCAGGACATGAAGTGTGTCAGCATCCAGTGAGTGTCCTCCACTCTTGTCCCTCACGGTGCCCACCCCAAGCCTAACACATGGACCTCGGGACCTGGGCTGTATGGGGAGACGCTCAAGGCCACAGGATATCTCTTTGCTTTTGCAATTAATTCACTCATCCTGTTTTATTTGAAAGGCAGAGAGATTGCCCATCTATATGCTGGTTCATTCCCTATATCACTGCAGCCTCGGCCATACCTGGGGCCAAACCAGGCCAAACTCAGGAGCCAGGAACTCAGTCCAAGTTTTCCCCATAGGATGGCAGAGATCCAAGTCTTCAGCCACAGCCCACTGCCTTGAGGGTGTACATTAGCAGGAAGCTGATTGAAAGCAGAGCTGGGACCAGAACTCTGGCACTCAGATAAGGGATGCAGGGCAACACGTGGTGTCACGTGCTGTGCCAGACGCCCCCATGCAAGGGACTTCTTGACACCATCCCTGGGGCAGGAAGTACTGACATACCCGTTGCCTTGATAGGGAAATTGAGGTCCCAAGAGAGGTCCAGTGTTGATCCAGGACCCAGAGCTGTCACCTCCCTGGCCCTGCTCCAGCAGATGGCTTGTGTCCCCTCAGGTACCTGGAGGCCGTGAGGAGGCTGAAGGCTGAGGGTCACCGCTTCCCCAGGACCATTCACATGACCTTTGTGCCCGGTAAGAAGGCTCTGGCTGGGACAGCACTGGAAAGGGGAACTGTGTTGGGGGCAGCTCTCTCATCTAGTTCCCGTCACGCTTAACAGATGAAGAGATCGGAGGTCACAAAGGCATGGAGCTGTTTGTGCAGCGGCCTGAGTTCCAGGCCCTGCGGGCTGGCTTTGCCCTGGACGAAGGTAAGCAGACTGCTGGTGCCTCTGAGCTGCCCGGCTGTTGGGGGAGAGTGAGGCCTGGGGCTGTGTGACTGGGCTGGGCCACTGCCTGTTCTGAAGCCCCGCTGCACCCACTACTCCTCAGGCCTGGCGAATCCCACTGATGCCTTCACTGTGTTTTACAGCGAGAGGAGTCCCTGGTGTGAGTACATATTGAGGGAGGGGTCTAACACTGAGATGGCACACTGGAAGGCCTTGAGCCCAGGGCCTGTCCTCCCAGACCCTTCCTAAGTGGATGTCTTCTTCCTGGGCTACTCCAGAGTGGGAGCAAGAAATGGGTTCTACCCTGAAGGCTCAAAGGCCAACAGGGTCCTGCCAGCAGAGCTTGGCATGAGGGGGACAGGCCTGGACACCCGCTGTTCAGAGCTGACAGCCCCTCCCATGCCAAAAGCCCCCTCCTCCCCTCACCCTTTCCTCCAACTTGGGCTGCTCTGCAGGGGTGCGGGTCACCAGCACCGGGAGGCCAGGCCACGGCTCACGCTTCATTGAGGACACCGCGGCCGAGAAGCTGGTATGTGACAGCTGCAGAGGGAGCCTGGGAGGGCTGTTCCCTGGACCCCTCAGTGTCTAACTCCATGCTCTCCTAGCACAAGGTTGTAGGCTCCATCCTGGCCTTCCGGGAGAAGGAAAAGCAGAGGTGAGACCGAGACCACCTGGCACGTGGTGGCTCTAGGGGGGCAGTGCAACCGAGGAGGAAGAGGAGGCCAGGCTGCCCTGTGTGACCTGCTGTTCCCCACCCTGCCTCAGGCTGCAGTCCAACCCCCATTTGAAGGAGGGGGCAGTGACCTCCGTGAACCTAACCAAGCTCGAGGGCGGTGTGGCCTTCAACGTGGTCCCTGCCACCATGAGCGCCAGCTTTGACATCCGAGTGGCCCCGGATGTGGACATGAAGGTACAACCTGCACTCTGGTGTGGAGGTTGGAGCCTGGGCCCTGTGCCCACCCCCTACACAGGGTGTTTGGGAGGGAAGCCTAAGTGTTGTCGGCTCATCTCCTCTCCCTCAGGCCTTCGAGCAGCAGCTGCAGGCCTGGTGCCAGGCAGCTGGAGAGGGTGTCACCTTCGAGTTTATTCAGGTATTACCGTGGGCCCTGGGATGGTGGTGTATGGCGGGTGTGTGAGGGGAGAGCCATGCACAGTGCATACCGGGCACCTTAGTCTTCTTCAGCCAGAAGCACTTCTTTGGGCCGTCAGTGTTTTCGAAATCTGCTGTATGTTCCAGGGCCACTGTGCCAAAGAAATGAGGGACTGCGATGCCCTCAGGAACCTTACAGAGCCCATTCTTGCTTTGCTGTTCCATGGACATGGGTGGCTGGGAGGGCGGTCTCACACTGTGGGTCCTGCTGTGATCGGAGTGTTTGAGCAGGCTGTGGCCCAGCTGGAGCCCCATGGCTAGGATCTGAAGGAAGGCCTGTAGCCAGAGTGGGCATCTGCCTGGGAAAGGGGGTGGGTGTAGATGTGCCCAGGGCCCTGTCCTGATCCTGCTCTCTGTCCTTCCTTCCCCCAGAGGTGGACAGGGGCCCCGGTGACACCCACTGACGACTCAGACCCCTGGTGGGCGGCTTTCAGTGGAGCCTGCAAGGACATGTGAGCCTGTACCCTGCACCCAACCCCACTCCTTTCCTGTTTTCCCACTCCCTTTTACCCGTTGCAGTTCCTTGTCCTCCTCCATCCCCTTTTGTTTTCCCGTTTGGAACAGGAACCTGTCTCTGCAGCTGGATATCTTTCCCGCAGCCACTGACAGCCGCTACATCCGAGCAGTGAGTCCCTAAGGAGGTAGCCCCTGGGTGGCAGCAGCAGCGGGCTGGCCCTCCTGACACTCTGCTTCACCCCTGTAGGCAGGCATCCCGGCTCTGGGCTTCTCTCCCATGAACCACACCCCGGTGCTGCTACACGACCATGATGAGCGGCTGCACGAGGCAGTGTTCCTCCGTGGGATCGACATATATGCACACCTGCTGCCTGCCCTGGCCAGTGTGCCTGCCCTGCCTAGTGACCACTAAGTCCCCAAATCTCTAACTCCTGTTCATGACTTTGCTTTTACCATGCCCACTAATAAAGTGTGTGTGGACAGGTGCTGCCTCAAAAGGACGGGGTGTTCTTGAAATTTTTAAAGATTTTTTATTCGTCAGATATACAGAGAGGAGTGACATAGGAATTTCTTCCATATGCTGATTCACTCCACAAATGGTAGCAACCACTGGAGCTGAGCCCATCCAAGCTAGGAACCAAGGTCTCCCAAAGGTGCAGGGTCCCAAACTGTTAGGAGTTAGCATGACAGCCCCAATGCACAGACTCAACTTTAATGGTGTTCAGACCGAAACCTTCACCAAAAAGGTTCCAAAGGGCCCGGCGCGGTGGCGCAAGTGGTTAAAGGTCCTCGCCTTACATGCCTGGGATCCCATATGGGCGCTGGTTCTAATCCCGGCAGCCCCGCTTCCCTTCCAGCTCCCTGCCTGTGGCCCGGGAAAGCAGTTGAGGACGGCCCAAAGCTTTGGGACCCTGCACCCGCGTGGGAGACCCGGAAGAGGCTCCTGGCTTCGGATCGGCATAGTATTGGCCCGTTGCGCTCACTTGGGGAGTGAATCATCGGACGGAAGATCTTCCTCTCTGTCTCTCCTCTCTGTATATCCGCCTTTCCAATAGAAAAAAAAAAAAATAATAATAATAAAAAAAGAAGGCTCCACAAATACCAGCTACACTATTTGGTACTGTAAATAGACCAATTTACAGGATAGTGACACAACATGCTGCCCTGACCCTACCCACCCTTGGGCCCAACCTCCAAATCGACCTTAGAATGCAGGTTTTGCACCCTAGCAGGGCAGAAAGCCACCCACTCCCCCGGTTCTCCTTTACTAGCACTATTCTTGAAGCCCACCTCTTCCCAGACCCAAAGCAGGAAGCCACACTGTCCCCTGGACCAAAGACGCAGACCATGATATCCTGTCTCAGGTTTATTTGTACAAACAGCACAGGAGGACAGCAGCCTAGGGGTCACACCAGTCCTTCTGTCCCTGCAGTGGCCAGCAGAGGCTGTCTCTACTGAGCCTTCGTGGGGGGCTGGGCACCTTTGGGAGATGGCTGAGCTGGAGTAGCCGCTGCGGGTGCAGCCTGGGCTGGGGCTTTGGGCTTAGCCTTTCCCTTGAGCTGAGCCTTGGCTTCAGCCTTGACCTGAGCTTTGACCTTGCCCTTGATCTGAGGCTCGGTCTTAGCCTTTGCCTTGGCCTTTGCCCGAGCCAGCCTGGCACCGCAGGACATGCGGGCACGAGCACGCTTCCCGAGCTTGGGGTGGGCGATGTAGGCAAGTCGATCGAGCTTGCGGCTGACTCCCTTGGGGATGGTGGGCTTCACGTGCTTGGGTTTGACGATGGCCTTGATGGCCTCAGCCCGTGCACTCATAGCCTTGGCATTGTTGGCCTGCATCTTCTTCAGGCCCTTCTTGTTGTGCTTCTTGGCAAAGCGCATGTTCCTCAGGAACTTGGGGTCCACCTGGAAATCAGGAAAGGTGCAGGGGGCAAGCAGTGAGGGGCTGCATGGCCCTCCCTCGTGTGCTTTTCCTCCAGGGCACCTGCCACTCTAAAGGCAACAGGTAGAAACACTCAACTCTTTAAAACTGATTCCAGGGCCAGGCATAGTAGCTAAAGTCCTCGTCTTGAACTTTCCAGGATCCCATATGGGTGCCAGTTCTAGTCTCAGCAGCTCTACTTCCTTTCCAGCTCCCTGCTTGTGGCCTGGGAAAGTAGTCGAGGATGGCCCCAAGCCTTGGGACCCTGCACCCACATGGGAGACCTGGAGGAAGCTCATGGCTTCTGATTAGCTCAGCTCCAGCCATTGCGACCGCTTGGAGAGTGAATCACCAGATGGAAGACCTTCCTCTGTCTCTCCTCCTCTCAGTATATCTGCCCTTCCAATAAAAATAAAAATTTAAAAAAAAAAAAAAAGAGCATAACTGATTCCAGAGATGCACCAGTAGCACTCCAGCGGACAGGAGCCGTGCAGGCCACACGTTCAGGTCACATGTCCACAGCCCAATGCAGCTGCCCTGACTGCCAGTACTGCACAGCTTCCAGTCCCCACTACAAGGGGATCCATTCCAGTCCTCCCAGGTACAGCAACATAAAGACAGGTCTGAGCATAGGGATTCGCCCTACAGACCAGAAGAGCAGAAAGTTCAGGGGAAAAAAAACAGGGCCGGCCCGGTTCCTCCCAGCCCTCCCTGGACAAGAGGACCCTCCTCCAAGTCCAACAGGGAGTCATACTAAGGTACCAAGATCAGGTGCCCAACACAAACAAGCTCCTTCCCAAATTCTCTTTGGGCAAACGTGGTGGCACAGGCTGAGCTGCTGTCTGCAGCACCAGCGTCCCACACGGGTACCTGTTCAGATCCCAAGCAGTTCTAGCTCCCTGCTAACGTGCCTAGGAAAATGAAGTGCTCAGACCCCTGCATCCAAGCGAGACCAGGGAGACGCTGGTTGCTTCGGCACAGCCACTGCAACCATACGGGCAGTGAACCCAGTGGATGGGAAATCTTTATCACTCTCTTTTTGACTCTACCTTTCAAGTTAATTAGATAGATCTGAGTGAGCGCCCTTGGAGGCCAGAAGGGACAAGGACTGGGATTGCCTGCACACTCACCCCTTTAAGAGATTCGTATCTTTGTGATCGGGGCTTCTTGATGCCATTTCTGTGCCACTTTCGGGCTGCAAATAAAAACAAAAATGAAGACCAAGCACGATATTTCCTCTAACAAGACCCACCTGACACCCTGACATGTCATGGAGACCCTCCCTTCCCAGAGCAGGAGTGGAGATCCACCGGGGATTCTGCCACTGTAGGCCTGGTCCCTACAACCTTTAACCCCAAAGACACCGCAAGCGGGTCCCCTTGTCCCGCCCCAACCACCCCAATCCCTCCCAAGCTTACACTGGTTGTGTGTGGTGTGGTTCTTGGACTTGGCCATGTCTACACCTGCAGGACAGAGTGGAGATGAGCGAGGGGGCCCCAGGCCAGAGGGAAGCCACGCGACGCAGCCCCGCCGCTCCCCCCCGGTCAAGACACCCCGAGACCCCGCGGCCGGCGTCCAAGCGGCTGTCCTCCGCCACAGAGCCCGACTTCCTCCCCCCACTCCGCCATCCACCTCCTGAGGATCCAAGAGCATCGCCTCCGGCCAGCGGCCTCTACTCCGCGCAGCACCCAGCGCGCGCGCCTACCCTCCCCGCGGCCCGCGGCGCACAGCCGGCGCCCTGCCGCCAACCGTCAGCGGCGGATGGCATCGGATGCCACGGAGACATCACTCACCGAAACCCGCGGCTGCCGAAGCCTCCGAGACCGGAAGAGGAAGAGGGAGGCCGCAGTGCAGCGCGGGAAGTAGAGTCGACGATGCCGGAAGGTACTCTTGGAAACATTTCTCCAATCGCCTAGAAGAAAGGTTCCGGAGCCCGGAAGCGCACAGCCCGCCCCGGAGGCGGTGCTACGGCCTGGCCCCGCCCATTCGCTGGTCCCGCCCACTCCCTCCTCCTTGCGCGGCCTGGTCCTGAGGGGATGGAGGTGTGGGTGCTCCTGGAACGGGAGCTGCGCGCAAGGAAGCTTTGACTGGTGTGTCTGGACATGTTTCTTTTCAAATGCATTAAATCCCCTGAGCATCCGAAGTGCAGAGATTGGAGAACCTACTAGTAAGTCTGTTGTCCTCCAGGGCCTCTTCCCCTCAGTCTGTCTCTCTCTGTAGTTTTGTCTTTCAAGCAAATAGGATAAATATATTTTTTAAAAAATCTCCTTTGGGAGCCCGGCACACTGGCCTAGCGGCTAAAGTCCTCACCTCACCTTGTACCCTCAGGGATCCCATATGTGCGCTTGTTCATGTCCCAGTGGCCCACTTCCCTTCCTGCTCCCTGCCTGTGGCCTGGGACAGCAGTCGAGGACGGCCCAAAGCCTTAGGACCCTGCACCGATGTGGGAGACCCGGATGAAGCTCCAGGCTCCAGGTTTCTCTGTTACTCTGGGTCTTTTCGTTGTTTCCTTCCTGGCACTTTCCCAGACTCAAATTCAATGCTGTGTGTGTGTGTGTGTGTGTGTGTGTGTGTGTGTGTGTGTGTGTAGTGTCACAGACACCATCAGTTTTCGAGTGGTTGGTTAGGTCACCTTGGCTTTCCCACTGCCTGACGCAGCTTCACACACACCTGCCGAGTGAATATACAAGGCAGCTTCCCAGAGGGCGAGCTAGGTTGCCGAGCTTTGAGGAGTGATGGGGAAAGGAGGTGGTGGGGGCAGGACGGGTGGAATACTCCAGGCCAACACTCCTGAGGCCTGGCAGCTGCTAGCTGGGACCTGAAGAATGGCGTAAGCTCTCCACTTCCAGAAAGACGGCCTGGCTGATGTCCCGGCTACTCCACTGCTGACCCAGCGTCCCGGGGACCAGCCGGTACTGACTCGCTACCTGAGTCTCTGTCAGCCAAACAGAAAACCAAGCTGATCTTTCTGGCTCCTGGCTCCTGCCTGGCCAAGCCCTGGTTGTTGTAGCAATCTGAAGGCGAGCCAGTATATGGAAGATCTCGCTCTGGCTTTCAAATAAAATAAAAATATAGAAGTTTGAAAACCTTTTTCTAACAAAACCTCAATAAATATATTTCTAAAGATTTATCTATTTTACCTGAAAGAATTAGACAGAGACCCACTAGTTTACTCCCAAATGGCCGTAACTGCCAGAGCTGAGCCTATCTGAAGCTGGGAGTCAGGAAGTCCTTCTGGGTCTCACCTATGGGTGCAGGGGTCCAAGGATTTGGGCCACTCTGCTGCTTTTTTGAGGCCATTAGCGGGAAGCTGGATCAGAAATGGAGCAGCCAGGACTGAAACAGGTGCTCAAATGAGGGCCAGAACTACAGGACAGAGGATTGGCCTGATGTGCCACCGTGCCAACCCCAAAACATCAATAAATATGACTAGGAGCCAAAGATGTTCCGGCACCAGAAAGGGTGGTGAACTCGACCCTTCCTCTAGGGCCAATGTGCCATCTTATGTAGAAGCCCATGCACACTGCTTTCCTGTGTGGCGCACCCTTGGGCGAGGCTATTAGCAGGACACAGGGCATTGGCCAGCCTGAGCCCTCCCAGGCACCTTGGACGCAGCTAGCAAGGCCATCCCCAGCGGGGCTCATGTGACCCATCGAGCCATGTGGCCTTGTCTTGTCCAGGCTCGTGCCGCCCCTCAACCAGCAGGATCCCCTGGAGCCTGCTCAGGGGAGCGGTTGGCAGCACCCGTCATGATCCTGTTGTATCCGCCTGACAACAGTTTGAGGACTTTAAATTTCTTTTAAGATTTATTTATTTTTTATTGGAAAGACAGATTCACAAAGTAAAGGAGAGACAGAGAGAAAGATCTTCTATCCGCTGGTTCAGTTCCCAAGGAGCCGCAACACCCTAAGCTGAGCTGAGCCGAAGCCAGGAGCCAAGAGCTTCCTCAGGGTCTTCCATATGGTTGCAGGGTCCCAAGCCTTTGGGCTGTCCTCTATTGCTTTCCCAGGCCACAAGTAGGGAAGTGGAACAGCCCGGACAGTAATCGGCGCCGATATGGGATCCTGGCAGGCGTGCAAGGTGAGGACTTTAGCCACTAGGCTGCTGCGCCAGGCCCTAACAAAATCTTTTTTTGGAAAGATAGGAGAGACAGAGATCTTATTCTGCTGATTCAGTCCCCAAATGGCCAGAGATCCTGGCATTACCTCCTTAGCCCCAGGATGAGTATGTCCCTCTAGTGGGGCATCCACCTGGCCCAGGGAGATGCGGGGCCATGAGCCAGTCATCCACAAGGTGGCAGTGTGGAACCACGGATGACATCTCACCACTGCAAGTGCACCAGGAGACCAGGAGGGGGCCACCTCCCTCCCTGTTAAGAAAGCTCCTCCACTCCAGCTCTCCACTGCTACTTTACCCCCTGCCTAGGGTTTTTACAGCCTCTCTTCTTTATTAAAGATTTGTTTGTTTTTATTGGAAAGTCAAATTTACAGAGAGAAGAAGAGACAAAGATCTTCTGCCCGCTGTTTCTCTCTCCAAGTGGCTGTAACGGCTGGAGCTGAGCTGATCCAAAGCCAGGAGCCAGGAGCTTCTTCTAGGTCGCCCACAAGGATGCAAGGTCCCCAAGGCTTTGGGCTGTCCTCAGCTGCTTTTCCAGGCCATGAGCAGGGAGCTGGGTGGGAAGTGGAGCTGCTGGGACACAAACCAGCGCTCATGTATGATCCCAGATCATGCAAGGTGAGGCTTTAGCTACTAGGCTATCACACTGGCCCACAGCCTTGCTTCTAACCCATCCTCCCAGCCCCCTCCTGCTGTAATAAATCAAACCTCTCTCTGCTCATTCTGGAACAGCTCATTCCGGGCTTCAAGCACCTATACCTTCCTGAGAAAGGGCTCAGAGCAGAGCAAGAGCCAGGGGTGTGTGTGTGTGTGTGTGTGTGTGTGTGTTTGTGTGTGTGTGTGCACGTGCACCCACTCCTGTGCATGCTCCCTCTCGATTCTTTGGTTCTTGGGAGTTCAAGGAAGAGGCTTCAGTAGCTGCTGTTGTAGGGTAAGCAGTAAAGTCATTGCCTGTGACACCAGCGCCCCTTATGGGTGGCAGTTTGTGTCCTGGTTGCTCTACTTTTGATCTAGCTCCCTGCTAACGGCCTGGGAAAGCAGCAGAGGATGGTCCAAGTCCCAGTGATCCTGCACTCACATAGGAGACTAGGAAAAAGCCCTTGGTTCCGGACTTTAAACTGGCTTCAGCCATTGTGGCCATACGGGGAGTGAACCAGCAGGTGGAAGATCAATCTCTTTTTCTATGTAACTCTGCCTTTCAAATAAATACATTGCTTTTAAGGAACAGGCTTCAGTGTTATTCTGACAGCTGCTCTCTCTGGCCCTCAGTTTGATCCACAGTGCTGAGCTACCGGGAAGTCTCCAGGAGGCTGAGACCCACAGCAGCCCTGTGGGCGACGGCAGCAGGGTGTTCACCAGCCCACCTCACCGCTGCGAAGATCAAGTCCTTGGGCATGACTCGGCAAAGGCATTGCAGCCAGATGGTGATGTTCCAGGGACCAGCAGGACTGTGGGAGCAGGAGATGGCACACACCTGATGAGGCAGTAACCACCAGGTGATCTGGAGGAAACCCCCGGCTTGGATGGCTGACGGATGCTCCTGGCTCCACTCCCGCACACCCAGCCCACTCAGAACAGGCCAAGCAAACAAGTAGGTGGCCGTGCCCATGGCAGGAAGGCAGGCTGGGGCCAGCGGGTCTCAGGCAGGGAGTGGCAGGTGTCAAGGCAGGAAAGGTGCCAGGACAGGTGTGGAGGGAAGCAGTGAAGTCAAGTGGGTGTACAGGATGCGGGGCTGAGCAGGGCCGGCTGAGAACCCCCAGGCTGATCCCCTGACTCAAAAGAGGGCTAAGGATCCTTCTTTCACTCAGTCAGTTCAGTCCCCAGCCCCATCTCTTATGCAAACTAATGGATGGTTGGGTTGGGGCAAAGCTCTCACAGTCACCAGTGGGAACAGTGACCGGCCCAGCAGGGGAATATTTGTAGCCTTCCTACCAGCCCCACTCCAGGTCTTTTTTTTTTTAAGATTTATTTTTTCTTGAAAATGCAGATTTATGAAAAGAAAGAGATATAGAAAGATCCTTTATCTTCTGGTTCACTCCCCAAGTGGCCACAATGGCTAGAATTGAGCTGATCTGAAACCAGGAGCCAGGAGCTTCTTCCAGGTCTCCCATATGGGTACAGAGTCCCAAGGCCCTGTGCCATTCTCCACTACCTTCGCAGGCCACAAGCAAGGAGCCGGATGAGAAGTATAGCAGTTGGGCCTCATGCTAGTGGGTGCTGCAGCCTAGTCCAGCCCAGGCAGCCCCCAATCCCGCCCCTCATGTGAATTGGCTGGTGTTGTGACCCAACTAGCCAGTCCTGCATGCATCCTGTTCTAATTTTCACATCTGCCAGTGGGTGTTGCAAACTGGCTCAGCCCAGCCTACCCCCAGACCTAATCAACACAGAAGCCAGCAGGTACTGTAACCTGGCCTGATCTCGGCTGTCCTAGTCTTGGTTCTTGCACTCACCCACGGGACTGCATCCTGCAAGAGAATGAGTTCACCAAGCTCCTTTATCAGGTTACCTCCCAGTTTCAGATCTCACACACACTGGTGGGTTCTTGGCCTAGCCTGACTTGGCCCACCTCCTGTCCTGGCAGGAACAGCGGCCTTGCACAGCCAGCCCACAATCATTTGTTCTTACCATTGGATGCTACAGCCCAATCCTACCTAGTTCAGCCCATCCTGTATCTACCCTGGCTTCTGCAAGAAACAGCAGGTAGTAGAGCCTAACCCAGTCTGGCACACCCCAGACCCAGGCCACACCCATGCAAAGGGAT